AACACTGAGGGAAAAAAGCTATAATGGCAAAACACCATGGAAAAAAGTTTATACTGTCAAAAACACTGAGGGAAAAATATATATGCATGAAAACACTAAGGGAAAAGCTTATAATGGCAAAAACAACCGAGGGAAAAAAATATATCACCAAAACACCGAGGAAAAAGATACGAAAAACACCGAGGAAAATATATCGTGGCGGAAAACACCGAGGGAAAAAGTTTCATATCGGCAAAACACAAGGAAAAGCTTATATCAGTCAAAACACCGAGGAAAATATATATACGGCAAAACACCAAGGAAAAGCTATAATGGAAACACCGAGGGGAAACATATAAATTAATAAACACCGAGGAAAAGTTTATATCGGCAAAAAACACCGAGGGAAAATACATAATTTGGCAAAACACTGAGGAAAACATATACGTACAAAAACACCGAGGGAAAAAGTTATAATGGCAAAACACCAGGGAAAAGTTTATACGACAAACACCGATGGAAAACATACGCAAATGACCGATGCGGAAGGAATATAATGGCAAAACACCGAGGGAAAACATATATATCGGCAAAACACCGAGGAAATATATATAATGGCAAAACACCGAGGGAAAAGCTACCGGCAAAAACACCCGAGGGAAAACATATATACGGCAAAACACCGAGGGAAAAAGCCTATGGCAAAACACCAAGGAAAAGCTTATACGGCAAAACACCGAGGGAAAAATAGCTTTACATACCAATAAACACCGAGGAAAAGCCATAATGGCAAAACAACCGAGGAAAACATATATACCCAAAACACCGAGAAAAAGATAATGGCAAAACACCGAGGGAAAAACATATACATAATGGCAACACCGAGGGAAAGCCATAATGGCAAAACACCAAGGAAAAAGCTTATACGTCAAAAACACCGAGGGAAAAATATATATACGGTAAAACACCAAGGGAAAAGTTTATACGGCAAAACACCGAGGGAAAACATATATAATTACAAACACTGAGGAAATAGCCACGGCAAACACCGAGGGAAAACATATATACGGTAAAAACACTGAGGGAAACATATTAATAACACCTGAGGGAAAAATATACCAGCAAAAACCAGGGAAAAAGTTTATAATGGCAAAACACCGAGGAAAATATATACCCACAAATCATTTATACGGCAAAACACCGAGGGGAAATATATACGAAAAATGGAAATGAAATTGAGGAAAGAGGAACTAAAAACACCGAGGGAAGGAAAGAATGGAAGGAAGAAATCGAGAAAAATGAAAAAAAAAACACTGAGGGAAAAAGCATATATGGCAAAATGACCGAGGAAATATGATACGGGAAAAGACTGGAAAACACTGGAGGAAACAGGGGGGAAAAATGCTATATGGAAATGGAGGATGAATGGAAGGAGGATGGAAATATGGAAGATGGAATGGAACACTGAGGAAGGAAATAAATGGAATGAAGGGAAAAAGCTACGGCAAAACACCGAGGGGAAAAAAGCTATACGGCAAACGCTGTTAAAACGCTAGATTTTGCACTCAAACGCTGTTAAAAATCCTGTACATCTTCATCATCAACTGCAAGAGAGTGAGAAAGTACATTTTCAACCACACTAGACTCAGTGGTCGAAATATACTTCATAAAGGAACTCAGGTACATATCTTCTGAGACATAATCTTCGCCAAAAAGACAGCAGCACAAAAAAAAAACGCGAGAAATTTTGGTTCGAAAATAGCGTTCTTGAGTGTAACCTTTCACAAGATTTCTAGCTATCGCTTCCCACCTCTCCCGCGAAACGTCATGACGAATCACTGGGACTCGTTCATCCTCGCCTAACATGAAAATATTTCATTCCAAAACAGAGAAAATGCATCCCTGACAACGCCGACTCCTTCGCCCTTTTCCTCGACACCTCTGGAATCTATCATCTTGACATCCACACACTTCTTTAAAATATCACCTTTTTCAAAATAGTGCAGCAAGTCAGCTTTCACATTACAACGATGAATAAGCAACACTTCTCGCTCCATAACCTCATTTGCCATATTTTCTGGGACAAAAGTAGCCCCTTCAGAACTTTCACTTGCAATGTACAACACTTAATATAGTAAAGATGGGTGAAAAGCCACAACATTTCTGACTGTTCTATTTTCAAATTCAATTCATCCACTTTCTTTAAATGAATTCCCAATGGTATTTTGCACAATCATCACAATACCCACTCATCATTTCATGAAATATTAATTGAACATCAAATTAGTGGATATTTTTCTTCTATACTTTGTAACTAGAACATCTTTTTCATAAAAAGACAGACAAGAACAAGTAGACTATATAGTACTCACAAACCTTGGAAAGTATTCATCTCAAAAGCATCACAATTTTGGAGGTTCTCCAGTGCATGTTGTGTTAAAGTTGTATCATCAATAGATGACAGTCCAACCAAAGTTGTGGAATGTGATTCTTCTCCAAGCTGTGGTTCTGTGCAATGATTCATTTTGAGTCTTTGTTAGTCTGATTTCTCCAAATCTAATTGTTCTTCCACAACATCATTAACTAATCATTATAACCATAAAAACAAATATTTGTATTTTTATCAAATATGTAATTTATTTAAATAAAGATTGTTGCATAACACACTTTTGCTGATTTCCTTATGCACTCATATTGGAATTCTCAAGTATAACATCAGAATGAATGTTGCCTTTTACAGTATTAATGTGTAATATTTAATATTAGCTCCTGATAAAGTAAGTGTTTAATTTTACTTGTATCATGATAGTTTCATAAAATTAACCAAATGGGGCAAAAATTATTATATACTTGACCTAACAGAATTACTTTGATTATTAAAGGCTCATAATTAGGTATTAATCAACATGACCATAAAATGACCATACATTAACATAGTGTTTTTAATGATTAATAGAAAACCTCCTCACTTTTATGATCCAAAGTCTTGCAAACATACAAATTGACACTACTGCATGGCCTGCTAAGGGACTCTTTGTACTTTTCTACAGAAAATGTTTCTGTTGTACCTGGTAAATATAAAACTCCATATATGGGTATAACAAAACCCATTCGGAACTTTCATTATGGAGTTGCTTATTGTGAGCCAGTTGCTTCTCCACCCCAGCAGTTTTTATGACAACATGAGAATCACATTTTTTTACATCAGTAGGAAGAAATGAGCCTCGCTTAATTTTCAAATGATTCCCATCCAGCTCAATAATTCCAATGTTTATCTGGGGTGGAAAAAATATCCAGTTACTAGGTGTTCATGACCTGCCATCACAAAATGTTTGATGAAGAATAAAAAAATAATTAGACATTTTAATGGAAAATACTATTCCATTCTTCTCCATGAAAACCTGAGCCTGATTTTTAAAGCATGCAACAAAAGTATTATTGTGTTGATTCGAATGACTGCAAAAAAAACCAAATTTCTTATAGCAGCCTTCTATATTTCAGCTTAAATAGGTGGGAATTACATAACTAATATCTACATAAAAACAAGCATTGAATATAATTATTCCCTACCATCACCCATCGTTCAAATAATTATTGACATGACCTATTTGCAGAGGTAGTAATAATCACAAACCTTGACAGTCTCATTCTTCCTCCTCTTTTTCGTGGAGACAAAACGATCTTGACGTTTCCTTGCCACAAAAGTGGCAAATGAAATATCTGCCAAATACTCTTTAAAAGTCAAAGTTTGGTGGCACGAGGATCAGTAGAAGGCCCAGCTGATGTTGATGGATCACTATTCTGCAAGGTCTTTGATTAGTCAGACTTTCGAAGATCCGTCCCACAGTTAGCACAAAAATTACCCCTTGTATTTAGTGAACTCCTGCATACTGTACAAAACATGGTGTTCAAGTTTACATTACCAACAGCCAGGAAAGATAATACGAACATATACATGAACGCTAAATGTAATAAATACCTCACGAATGTTTTGTATTTATCTTATTTTCTCGAAATAAAACGAAAATATAAGAATATGACAATATTCTGCACTTCGGCAACTTTGTAAACTCAGAACACATTTGGCTGGCAAATTAACCGGATATGACTTTTGTATATTATAATTTGTGTTTGTGTATAGAGTCCTTAAGTGGTGACGTCACGTTTCAATGGTGTTAAAAATCTCAGTTCCAAACAAGCGCCCCATTCGATTCAAAATGGAGACATTATCCATCGCTTCGCTTTTTTCTTTCTTCTCAGAAGAAATGAAATATGTAAAAAAGGGGGGAAACCACTTTAAGTCAGATCACATTGAAGCATTTACTTACCAGCAGAGTGTTTTACGAGGAGAAGTACAGGCAAGAATGAAACAAAAGGTTTATAAAGTGACGGTGAATGTCAAATGTCAAGATTAAGTTTTAGACTGTTTTTGTTGCCCAAATGAACACGAGGGCGAGATTTTCTCTAGTAGTGAAATGAAAAAAGGCTTGTTAATAAACGATTTGTTTTAAAAAATAATGATACTCTTCGGTTTTCAGTCCTCAAATTGACCTACCACTACTAGTTTGGTGTGAGGGAGTTGTGGTAACAGGCTAAACACATATTTGCATTTTTATTAATAAACACAAGGATAACATGGTATTTAAAAGACATGGAAAAATGGTACATCATTTAATGTTGTTTTCCTGGGGGGAAGGAAAATTCCCATATAAAAGTGATGGGATGCTCATGGGAAATGTTCAAAAAGACTCCTTAAGGGTAACTCTGGGCAGTACTTGCTTTTATTTTTATCCCCAAAAAGACATCCATTGTAAAACATATGTCAAAACTTTTTTTAACTTCTGTTCTCCTAAATATGATAAAAGAATTCTCGCAGTGATGTAATTTGACACCCTATGTACACCCAGGCTGTACCAGATGATAAATATTGTAATTCCTAGGAGGTAAAATCATCCCTTTGCTGTTATATTAGAATGCTACCCCCCCCTCTAGCTGTATTTTCTTCTAAGTAAGCCTCAGTCTACAAATTATTTTATTTCTATTTGAACAACAATAATTATTAAAAAACTGTCCAATGTAGTCTTCAAGCATAAAACTACTCAAAAACCATATCTTCACAATCCCTCTTTGATGAAAGGAAATTGCAAATTTACAAGTGCCGCCCATAACTGAAACAAAATGTCAGCATAGCAGCACAAATACGAAGGAATGATGCCTAAAATTTTGAAGTCTTTCAGCCTAGCATTGGCTCTTTCGACATGAATCCTTGCTTTAGCTATAGTGTTTGTTTTCTTGACCTCACTCTCTGTACAACATCCTGGATAAGGAAACCCTTGTCCGCCAGAATCATATCTCCAGCTGTCAAGCGATTAAGGAGTCCAGACTGTTGCACAATGGCCTTGTCTGAAATAGAACCTGGATACAGCCGACTGACATTAATAAAGACTCCATTTGGTGCAACACCAACTATTACCTTAAAGGAATTCATTCCTCTGTATGATAAATAGGTGGCATTTTGCTGACTCATCAATCCCGGTGCAGCAACCTCAATATCTGTGCAGTCTATAACAATCCGACAGGATTCAAATTGCCTGAAAGAGGAGGGTGCAGAAATCTTATTTTTTTCCAGGGATGGAATCGATGTCATTAGGTCGTCAAACAAAATTTCATGCGAAACATGAGTGAATGCTATAACAATGTTAGAAATTGTGGCCACACTACAATGAAACAATTGGGCTAGGTGTAGCTTTGTGTAGTTCTGTCGTACTTTCATTAAAGTGATAAAAATTTGATCCTCAAAATTGATGGATTATACCTTCCAAAACACTAAGATTTAAGGTTTTGGCTACGGAAAATACAAAGCGACCGTTAAAAAGACAACTAGCTGAAGCTTCTATAATTCAGTATTCGATGATTCTCCCTCATGTCCTGATGTCAACTCTTCACCTGAATAGAGTCCGTAAATCTCACTTAAAATCACGTAATTCATCAAATTTTCACCGATTAAGGAATTCGTTTTGAATATCAGTTCATACCTTATGAGTCAAACCCATCTCTTGTACTCGTCGTTCTGCTTTGTAGCGCTTGGAAAGCAAAGAACTTGCAAGTGTTGTTCTCCGACGAATGGTTACATGTAGGAGCAAAACAGTAAACCATTTTGCCCGTTTGACCCGCGTCCTTTACACTTCTTCAACAAAAGTTGATCCTTTGGATGACCCTTTAACCTTTCCTGTTTTTTTTTTATTGTCTTTTGTGGGAATCATCCTCATCATCATCAGCCTGTCACGCCACTGATGGCGGATGGCCTCCACATCTTTCTCCACTCTTCACGGTCTTGGGCTCTCTGGATGCACATGCTGCCCGCTCTCTGCTCGATGTCATCTCTCCATCTCCTTGTTGGTCTTCCCTTGCCTCTTTTCTTGTCCCACGGGGTCCATTCAGTTGTTTTCTTTGCCATTCATGGTTTTTCATTCGGGCTAGATGTCCTGCCCACTTTCCTTTGGCTTTATTAACTTTCTCGATGACATCCTTCACTTTTGTTCTTGCTCTCAGGTCTTCATTCCGGATCTTATCTCTTCTCGTGACACCGAGCATTGATCTTTCCATACTCCTTTGGGTGATTGCCAGGTTCTCTCTTTGATGGTTGGTAAATGCCCACGTCTCTGCTCCATAAGTCATTGCTGGTAGTATGACAGTGTTCATGATCTTCCTTTTGAGACACATGGGCATTCTTTGATCTCTCATGAACATGCTGTACTGTCCAAATCTCTTCCAAGCTGATGTTATTCTCTCATCTATTTCTCTCGCCATCTCATTTCCTGGTGTTAGTAGTCTTCCCAAATACTTGTACTCTTAACCTCTTCCAGCCGTTCTCCGTCAATCGATATTCCTTTTCTTCTCCTTTTCTTTGCTATTTCATTGCACATGATCTTTGTCTTCTTTTTGTTCATTTTCATTCCATCTTTCCTCCCTTCTTCGTTCAGATCGTTCAAAAGTTTGCTGAGGTGTTCTTCATTTTCAGCAAATAGGAATACACTGGATAATATTTGTGGGAATACACTGGATAATTATAGCTTTAGACATTCAAAACAAAGGAAGCCTGTCCAAAGCGCTCGCATAAGATATTTTGCTTAGAACTGCATTTTTTAGCGCCATGGTAACGAGACGTCAAACTTAAGGACTCTATTTGAAATTGTGTTTGCATATTATAATTTTGTTTGTGTATTTGAAATTGTGTTTGCATATTATAATTTTGTTTGTGTATTTGAATTTGTGTTTGTGTATTGCACCTCTGGGCCACCGCAAATTACTGCTTGTAATACAGTATTTTGAGATAATAATGCGTAAAATGAAAGAAATGCCTTTACGTCGAAATTACGAAATTTGATTGCGTATGGTGATTGTTGTGCTGAAATGTTTTTGATATAAGGTTCAATCAACTGACTCAGGTATAGAACCATTTTTGGAACAAATAACATTGTAAAGTTCGTGCTAATGCAGTTTCAATAGTTTTCTTACTCCAAAGCTTGTTTTTTAATCAAAGATGATTTCTTATTATGTTCTGAAATTGTTCAATTTACAAACTACTCAATTCTTATCCACTTCCACACTAAAACAACTACACCAAATCAAAGAAACTCTTACGATTTTCCATGTTGTATTTTGTATTTTTAGTTCATCATTTAAAAATGAAGTAATTATAATTAGGATACTCACTGAAACAGCTGAGTACAATATATTTTTGGTAATGAATTGTACAAATGTACCCTACTTCTGTAGCTCAAAGTAGAACATTACTTTTCTTCTAGACTTGTCAATGATATTTTAATTGTAGGTTTTGGTTTATAAGATCACAGAGGCATATCTCCATAATTTCATCCATTTGGGCTCTTCAATGTACATTACAACGGTTGCTGACTTTCTGATATATATTAAAATATTGCTGGCTTTCTGATGTATATTAAAGTGCTGCTAGCTTTTTGATATATATATTTCACTGGCAATACAAGGCATAGAATTTGAACAAACGGGGCTGAGCTCCCTCCAACACACCCCTGTTTGATCATTAAACACATATAGACGTTTTGTCATTCCTCAACCCATAAATTTAACTCTTTGCTAAGTTAAAGATTGGATCAAACTCATATGCTGTATAAAAGACTACAAACAGTAGCATTTATAGCAAACAGACTGTTTTTCAACAACAGGAATTTTTCATGTTATAGAAATAATATATTCATTTTAAAGAAATGCTTCACCAAAATTTTCAGCAGAATCTTTAACGAACCTCATTAGAAATAAACTTTAATACTTTATAAAGTGTTAAAGGCGAAATAACTTCGTATCGAGTGCCACGTTTTTAAGGTTTCTTTGTAAGTCGTGCATACAAATAAATTATTAATTACTTAATTCAATTGAGTGCTGAGACAGAATATCAAACAAGGATACATATCACTTGTAGACAGGAAACAGTTGGGTTGAGTTTTAGGCATAGAATTTATATAATTTGTAAATTTGTTATGTTTCATACAACAAAATATCAAATAAGTAAACAACAGGATGTGTAATCAACTCATTCATAATCTCCACTCTATTGATAAAAGTATGAGCTGCAACGATGCTTTAAATTAAGAAGGCGCTAGAATCTCGCCCCAATACAGTACATCCGGTCAAAAAGCACGGTGTACTATGTCCGACAATTTACATCGTTACATCCAGCTCCTCATAAGGAACAAAAGAATGTTATAATTTGATGGACCTAAGAGTAGTTTTCATAAAAATTGGTAATCACATGTAAAACGTTCATTGTAATTTATGTTCTATAGAAGATTTTCTTTTCACTGAGGGGTTTGATATGTCGATGTCTGGTCGTGCCTGATTGGTTTCTATACTGACATTTGTGGACGTGTCTTGCGTAGAGTACTTGGCTTCAACGGTGGCTCATTTCGGTCTTCAAGCTCAGATTGTTCATTTTCTTCCTCAGCACGCTCTGTATCAATCTTTACATTTCTTTAGTGAACGCCGGATGCCGTACGAAGAAGCGTTTTTGTTCACAATGCCTACTATGTATGTACGTGGATGCATAATCCCGTTTAGTTTACATATCAGTTGCTTAATTATCCTCTACCAATAGCAAAATAAATAAAACAACATTACAACACCAAATCAAAATTATAAATGTTAAAGAAAGGTAATCACAATGCTGAAACAGTTTATTGTTGTCTTAATGGATTAAAGTCATCTCCAAATCGTTAGGAATGAAACGAGTAATTTAGAGCAAGAATCTTCAGCGTCGTTCTCCTTGACGAAAGCACGCTAAAAAAAAGCAATGACGCGCATGCGTATTAATTTTTTATTGCAATACCCAGCCATTTTACCCAGCATGCTGGCTCTGCAATCTTCAGAAACGTTGTGAATATCAGTGGGACTAGTTTAGAAGATTCTTCCAGAACGTAAAATCATGCAGCAGAGGAAAACATCTCAGCTTTAAAGTGGAATGATTTGTCAATCACTTTCAAAATACAAGTTCTTATTAAACGTCGTGTAAAATTGCTCTTTTGATTACAAAGGCCAAGAGAATGGATACAATAGTTGCATATTCAACTAATTCAAGTTAGATCATCGATGTAAGATTCTCTAAAACATCACGTTTTTAATAAGGCATGAGCGTACATACACAAAGAAAAACACAAGTTGCAGACTAGTGAGAAATTAATCATTTCAAGAAATATACAACAACTAAAATTACTTCAACTAATATCATTATAACGTATGTACTTATAAATGCCACGTTTGTGTTTATTACGGCTCCTTTGAAAATAAAGCATGAATTATCAATTTCAATAGCTTGCTGAAACCAAAAATAAGCACATCAACATAAGCTACTTTTAGAAATGAATAATTTCGGTCAATTTGAGAGGTAGAAGTTTATAGCTACATACCTTGATGGTAGCTATGTTTCAAGTGATATTTAGTTTTTTAGTTCTCAAGTTTTAGTCCAGCTTTTCATCATCCTTATTTATGTCTATATAAATTCATTGTTTTTGCCGTGATTATATACACAGAAAGATTGACAGCAGGATAACATGAGCATGCTGGCGATATAAACAGTAAATAAAACATTTTTCTCATTTTGGACTACGTTAAAAAAAGAATGTCCTGTACATTCACTGTTTTAAAGAAGAAGTTTCAAAAATTCATGTCGATAACGTTAATATGTTCGTAATTGCATGTGTTGTTCGTTATGACACAACAATTTCCTTCAATGTACGTGTAAAGTTGCTATTAAAGTGCTTATCTCACAATTTTTTTTTCCGAATTTTCGTATTGCTTCTTCAAAAGTAATCTAAAACTTATATTACAATTTTTTCATGCGATGCATTGTTTTCGAATTATTATTGATCAAATATGAAATTTGACAAAAAAAGTTGATAATTGGCATAGGGCCTGGATCAAGTGTCTGTGACGTAACTTAAGGAACAAGTCAAGGTCTTGTTGTTATCAACGATTAGATGGCGGAGTTGAATTCTGATTCGGAAAGCTCTCATAGTTCGCAATGTGATTCGGAGTATGATTATATTCCCGGTTATGTCATCGAAGATGAAACAAAGAACATTAATGACCAGGAATATAATATAATAAATGAAAATTACGGCGAGTCCGAGTCCTATCTATACGCTGATGAACCAATGGCCGAACAAGCATGGTATGAAGACTACGTGGAAAAGTCAAATGAACATAAAAAGCAACTTGAAATGCTACAAAAAAGACTTGATCACACAGTTGAGTTGAGTTCTTGGTGAGTAATAAAATTTCTTATTTCAATTCAACTTATGAAATGTATTTCAATTCAGGTTTCAAGTTATGAAATATAGACATAAACGTGCAATTTTCTATTCAAGATTACCATCGCTTTTTTTTACTTTTGGGCAAAAAATTGTTAAAAGATGCTCGATTACAATTTTTTAATGTGATTTTCTTTATTCATCAGGTGCAAGTGTAGTTTTTGTCAAGTTACACTTCTTCAGAATCCTCTAGAGGCCTGGTGCTGCCAAGAACTTAAGTCTGTAGCTGAAAGCTTGACTCACCAGTCGGTTCTGGCAGATATGTCAACTATTCCATGTTGTGTCACTCTACACCCAGGTTTCAGACCAGTTTGTTTGGAAAAGTGGTCGCTAAAAATGGCTGCTATGAAATACAAAACCAGAGAACAAAGACGATACAGAGAAACAGGATCTGAAAACATGTATGATAGCATATTATGTTATTTCCCAGTATTTCAGTATATTTTAGTGTGATGACACATTAGTAACGATTTGGCTTTATATTCAGGTTTTTACGATGTGTTGCATACAGAGAGTTCACATCTATGATTTATGGATGCTTAGGAGAAGAAAGAAGACCATTACCTGCATGTGCATACCATGCAATAAGATCAAAATTTAATGATAAAAAGTTGGAATATAGAGGGTACGAAGAAAATAAAATAAATGAGTGATGTGAAAATTAAGTTTTCCTATTTTTTGGGCAATCTTCCACATGTTTGTGACCTTTCATTGGCTTCTTGCATGTCAAACATTTTGGCTGACTTTCTTTTGAAACTGCCACATTTGCCTGACAGCTGAATGGCACACTTGTAGCTGCTGGCATGAAACAAAAACATTTTTATTGTTTAAAATGATTTTCAAACCATGTTTAGCTACATGTTATATAATCATTATTAATTACCTGGAATTGAGGGGGGGACATCATTGACCACAATGCATTTTCGACGGACCTGTTTTAGTATCACCTCAGATCTGGGTTGCTTTTGCAGCATGACATTCATTGGTGGTGGGGACATTTCTTTCAAAAAATTTTGTGAATTTGATAATGCGTCTTTGTCTTTTATTGACAGCAACACACTCTCAAATAATTCATCCACATACTCTAAAAAGAAATTATTGTCGTATTCAATACTATGAAATGATGCAAAGCAACACATTTAGCAACAACTTACCAAATTTGGGAACTGCCATCATTCTTTATCTTTACATCACGCCTTAAGTTGTTGTTGAAGTGGATGGATGCCAAAATGTGTCTAAAACAATAAAGACTTGTGGAAGTTGCAAAACAACTAACATTGTCATATTGGAAATTTTCGCCCACCTGCAATACATTCCAACATAGGAATAATGAATCATTTTTGGAGCAAAATGATTCAGGACAGAATGGAATCCTTCCAAACAACTTGTTTGAGCAACTGGTGAAGCCTGGTGAATTGACTTCATTAGTTGTGGGTGTAACAATTCATGAGCAACTGAACCTTAAACATTACAATTAAGAATGATGATAAACTGTTAGGGAAGTTATCTTTAAATAATGCCTTCACAAACCTTCTAACAAATATTCCCTTGGTTGAATATCAGGGCCATGAAAACAACTTGAAAAGAGTGGATCATCCAAATTGGTGTGCTTGTCTACTATGTGACTCAGGAAAGATTTGAACTTTGCCCAAATTACTTTGCCATCACCATCATAAGTAGAACAAGCACTCCAATAGAAATGGTTGCCACAGGGTTTGACCCACTTTTTCAATTCTTCACAACCTTTTCTTTGCTAAGCTTTGTTATTATTTAATTCTACAAAAATAGTACCATTAAATTGGCCATTAATGACATGCAAATCCATACTCCTCTCAAGATTTTACATCTTAAATTCAGCTTACTTTTTTTTAGATGCCATAAATCAAAATAGTGCTTCACATGTGCCATTTTCTCCCTCATATGTTTACTGATAGATATGTGTCTATCAGATATAAATGTTGATAATTGTATGCCACTGCTTGATAGCAATTCCATGGTGTTTTTAAATGCCATGTATTCCATAGCCGGAACAAACAGCCGAATACTTAGTCGGTGTCCATCGAGCGCGTTTTCTTGCAACAAAATTCACCCAGATTTTACGTCTTCGCTTCGCTTCAGGACGCTCATCACCGTAAAATGGTATACGGTGAAGAGAAATTCCTTCCGCATAATTTGCTCGTTTTGAACAGCCGAAAACTGCACATCTATCAGGCATTTTGATGCAGAGCCGTAGTAGATGAAGTAGAAATTATAGTAAAAATCACACTTCAGAAAAACTTCCTGTCCTTATGTTACGTCACATACTTCTCGATTCAGGCTCTCGTCAAGCAAATTGAACGCGCAGCAATTTTCTCCATTATTGCCGATTTTGAGAAAAGAAACGCATTTATCTCATAAACGAAGCCATCAATAAGAAAATTGTAAAATAACTTTTATTATGATTTTTTTACCTTAATCAGAAAATTCGAAAAAAAAAATTGTGAGATAAGCACTTTAACAATAAAACTCGAGATAATAGAGTTATATTTATATAATTTTTATATGGAGACAGCTGAGGGAAATTATTGCCAGTTTGGTTCAATATAGCTGCAACGTTAGTTATTTTAAGAATAGTCAACGGCGAAATACAGCTTGCAGTCAATTTTACTGCATGAAAAGTAAGTACACAAAATATAGCTATATTTAAAAATGATCCGTATCGAGTGCCACGTTTTAAAGGTTTCTTTGTAAGTCGTGTATGAATAGATTACTTAATTTAATTCAGTGTTGAGATTGAATGTGAAAACAAGAATACATAGCTATCACTTGTAGACAGGAATACAGCTGGGTTGAGTTTTAGGCAATGAAATATATACCCTTTGTAAATTTGTTGTATTTTATACAACAAAGTGTCAAATAAGTAAACAACAGGATGTGTAATCAACTACAAATTCCAAACATATGATGCAATATTTTCAGTTTGAAATTGTAGACAAACTGTTGTGTCTGTTGTAATTTATAAATAGTAAAATTGCTTTTCATACCAAAGACAACAGAAATTTTTTCGTGCAAGTTGATTTACATCAAGGTTTCACAGTATACAATAAAATGGTGGCGCATAATTCGTCATTTAAACATTGGATAGTCAAGCAGAACTTGTAATAATGCAAATTTATTGGACGAAACTTCGAGCACAAAATGGCTACTGTCCAAATCTCAAATTATTAATCTCTTTTATTATGAGCTGAAACCAACCTATTTTCATGAATACTTAACATGAAATTACGTGCTTGCATCATCGATAAATGGCAATATATTATTAAAATACAGTTGACCCAATACATAAATAGAGCTTTTGTGATCTTGTCCTCACTCCAAGCTTGTGGATATCAATCACGTATCACAAAATGGCGAAATATACTTTTGCGTTGGTCGTAATTTTTTGTATTGGTGTTATTATTGAAGGGTAAGTCATCATATTTAAAGTACAATTTTGTGATTTTTGACTAACTTTGTTGAACGCTATTGATATTTCTATGAGGTTTTACGGCGTATCTTAACGAGTAAATAAACATGAAGCCATTTTCAGTTAGCTGCACTATGTTAAGTCATCAATCTATTTACGAGTTTGTTTTAAAACAATTTCATTTTATTGGCTATATTAAATCAATGTTTAGAAGATTATTTCGTAATGCATATAGTAATAAAGAAAGTGAATGTATTGATCTCATTTCCTTCATTATTTCCATAGAGCGAATTTAACAAGTGAAAAAGAAATTAATTTAAAAGACAATTTCTCGTCGCTCAACTTTGAAATGAAACGCACTTTGAAAGTTGTTCAAAGAAATGTAACATTAAAGACACAAATTGCATTAATAAAAGGGCAAATAAAGACACTGAAAAAATATCACAAAAATCTACAAACACAAAAAAAGCACCTTCAAGCATTCAAAATTTCGCTTCATTCCAAAATCAACAAGACACATGTACAAACGTACAAATTAGTAAAATTGCAAAAACAAATTAAGAAAATTGAACTTGAAATGATTAATTTGTCATTAAAAATGAAAACATTGGATGAGAAAGTAGCAACAATTCAAACAAAGCTAAAAAAACTTGAAAAACAACTGAAAACTCTTTACAAAGAAAATACAAAACTCACAGGAAAATCACTAAGAGGTAAGAATGATTTTGAGATATCAAGAGTGACATTTAACAACATATTACGTCATGGCAGAACTCTTTTTTTACATTACCAGGGAAAGACTGCGCAGATCTTTACAAAAAAGGTGAAAAAAAGAACGGAGTTTATCAAATTAACCCTGATGGTCAGGGTTACTTTAAGGTTTTCTGTGATATGAAGTCATCTGGTGGAGGTTGGACTGTGTTTCAACGACGTCAAGATGGAAGTGTAAACTTCTATCGAGGTTGGAAGGACTATAAAAAAGGTTTTGGTGATCTGAAAGGCGAATTCTGGCTTGGATTGGATAAAATATACCGACTAACATCTGCAAGGCGAAATAAACTTCGTGTTGACCTGGGAGACTGGTCAGGAAACAAAGCATATGCTGAATATGATTATTTTGCTGTAAAGAATGAAAATAAAAAATATCAACTAAGTCTTGGTAAATATTCTGGTAAGTTAATACGTAAATATAAACATTTGAGGGAAAAATATTTTGATACATGCAATATTTTAGAATTATTTAAGTGATTGCAGTGTGCAACGGGGGATTCTGCAAGTTTTTAAAAAAACGGATAGTAACGGTTGGTTTCGGACTAAAGCCTTGTTTGTCAATAAAAATATAATTAGTTTTGAACTTAAAAACTTACCGAAAAAATACAAGAAACAAACGTAAAGTAAAAAGTCGTTCTGTTTTGCGAACGATTCTGTTGCAACGATTGATTGTGACATGTAATGATTGTGATTAGCTTATCATCAACATTAAATGCAAATTCAACTCCAGCTTTGTAAATTACGTAATAACCTAGCACCTGAACAACATGTAGTTAATAAACACAACTAAATTATTTGGTACATAAGAAAGAATCTATACTGTGAATATCATTGTCTAATGATCATTGACTGAAATCTTTTTTAAAAAATGCATGCATTCAAGTAAGCTCCTAGTAATTAATTGTAGATGCGAGTTTTAATGCCTAAATGATATATACATTATAACTTATTCTTACATATAAAAGTTTTTTTGAACTTAACAACAATCTAAAACATAACAGAAATTTATTTAAGTTTACATGGACAATTCACATTTATAGTCATGAAACACAAATATATCAATTGAGCCTTGGAAAATACCCAGGTACGCTATTAAGTAAGGTCTGTTTCATACGTCAAACTTTACATCCACCGAACAGATCCCTGTATTTGTAAGAGTTGGGTCATGTATTGTTCTCTGGTTTGCGAACGTTGACTGGACAAAATTCATCACATGATTAATTTCCGCCATTTTCGTTCCTAATTTTGAAATTTGAACTAGTGTTTATATGGCGATTATTACAAGTTTGTTTGTATTTATAAAAAATATTTTGATTTTTTGGAGGTATGGCTACAATAATTGACTATTTGATAGCTAAAACATGTAACTGCATATCGCCAGAATCATGGAATCGGGAAAAAAGAAAGAAATGGTTTTACGAAAAATTGGATTGCGCGTAATGACCATTGTGTCTAACTGATCTTGACCTAAAGGTTTATTTACAAAGTTTATTTTCGAGTAAAAAATCATTGGAAGTATTTGTCCTAATGCTAACGATTCAATAGTTTTCTAATATGCAAAGCCTGTGCTTTATAGAAAGATTATGACTTGTAATATGTTTTAGTATTTATACCACTTCTTTTTACTCTATAAATTAAATGAAAAAACCAATTGACATTTTCATAAAAGCCTCCTAAACAAATGACCATTAAAAAATCGTTTGAAATCTTCTACTAACGACATAAAACACGTATTGGGTATTTTCTGCAATTCTTAAAGAGAATCTTAAGATAACATTAGCTAAACGACGTAAAATTTTTCTGAAGAAAATAACTTTTTTTAGGAAATGCTGGAGATTCATTATCTTATCATAATGGCATGGCGTTTTCAACCAAAGATTCAAAGAATGATAAGAGTCGGGGAGGAAACTGTGCCACTCACTGGAAAGGTGCTTGGTGGTATAATAATTGTCATTATTCTAACCTGAATGGACAATACTATAATAGAGCATACAACAGTGGGAATGGTGTGGTTTGGTATCATTGGAAAAAAAAGAATAAATCCTTAAAGTTTACTGAGATGAAAATGAAAATGACAAAGAATTTTTAATATTGTGTTTTCTTAACTTTCATGAATACATCTTATGAAACTTTGCATAATATTGACATTTGATAATAATTCTTTCAATAGAACCTTTACAATCATCATTCTTTTAAAACAGCGTGGAAAAAATTGTTGAAAAATGCTGAGGTAAAATAGTAATTTTTTTCTTCCCCAATTGATGGCAGATTTAATGCTATAGTTTTGCAGTGACGTCTTTTCTTTCATTTCTTTGACGTTTGTGGTGAAAGTTAATTGCAAAAAATTTTGATGTTTTTTCCTCGTTCCCACGCCATCTTGGATTTATCATGTTATGTGACTATCTTATATTATTACCTGGTTCATCATGAAGCAATCTTGTTATCTCCAAAGAGAATGGTTGAACATAACCTATAGACAACACAGTGTGTCTAACTGTTGTTTAGATAGTTTCGCACAATCTGTGCGAAGTGCTGGTTCACTATTCTTAAACTTCACTCTAACGATGAGACTGTATTTTCAATGTAATATTTTAACACTTCAATAGGATATTTACAGTGGATGTGCACGATTTTTACGTTCCAAGCGTTGTTTCTTTGCGATACGCAATAATTAAATTGCTCTCGATAAGATTACGTACAACCGTCAATCCTTAAACTGCGTTTTCGAACTTTATTGCCTTCTGCAATACGACTCTAATTTATCAAATTTGTATGACCAGTTCATACACCAATAACGTCAAATATCCGAACTTCCGAACCAACGCTTGCAAGCTATATTTATGTATAATTATTTGGAAGTGGTTTTAGGCGTTTACATATGACTTGTAACTTTGCCATTCCGTTTCTACCTACATCCTACCGAAATGACGAATTGCGATGAGGAAGTGTTCTCTCAACATGACTATAGTATTTTACATTAATTTAATAACATCAGTTAAATCTTATAATCCATAATAAGACACAGTCACTCGTTACATAATTTAACATAAAAATTTACAACAGATAGAGTTAAACCACTAGATTATTCATTTGAAAATTTGTGTATAAATTCATACACAGGTGAACGCAGTCATACTCACCTTACATTTAAGCCCATTACTGTTCGTAATTGGTAAATTCAAAAGAAACCCCGTTATTCAAGAAGACTTCGAATAAAGACGCAAAAAAAAATTGTGTTGGTGGAGATAATTTACATACATGCTACATCTGAATGATATTCTTTCTAATCACCAAAAAATGAATTTCTCGATCATCAGCAACTTGTGACGGGCTCAAAATTCACCCTAAACATCACAATGGATTTTACCATTACCATGACGAAACTTGTCTCCAGGTTTCTCCTCGGAAAAATGCCTGAAATGATTAAAGCATTCCCTTCGAAAAAGGGCGTATTCCTGAAAGAAAAAGAGAAGTAATCAAGTAGATGAAGACATATTAACTACACATCAACTTTAGCTTTAAGGAGGACCATAACAACATATCATTATACTGAAAAGGCAATCTTATCAAAATGAAATTTACAATGGAGTAATTGAGACAAATTTTACTGAAAAAATGTAAACAAATTTGTGTACATGTTGGTGGAGCAATTCAACTTTCTACATGGACGCCGGAAGGTCGATAATAGGGGGGGCAAATATTCATAAATTTGTGTTTAAGCTGATTACTATCTTTTAAAATCAATTGTTCTTTAGGAGATGTGACTACGAATATATCGATATTCTCCCCCCCTTCAATTATCAACGTTTCGGTGTCCCTGACGTCATACAATACACGAATTAAATTGCACGCAAATAACTCAGTTTGTCTGTTTTAGTTTTAATAATATTTTCTTTGAACATATTTTACTGAACAAAAGAGAAATGTTTTTTATCGATCATTTATAAAACAACAACAATATAAAAGGTGTACGCAGCTTGGTTTTCTTTTGCCTGTGAAAATGTGGAAGTCGATCTGAGCCACTGAACTAAAATACATGGAACGCCACCAGTAATAGAACAGCCTAATAATTTTTTGAAGCCAAATTTTACACCCATACACGCAAGATTACACCAAGACACGCGTGTGTAGTCAATCAATTTTCACTCCGAAAGATAGTCTCGAAACACTACACACGCGTATCTGGTGTAAAATTTGGCTTCAAATATTCTCTTAACGTAGCGTTCCATCTATTTTTAGTTTAATGATCTGAGCTTAATCAATTAAAATAATTCAAGAGAATTTAGAAATTAATCATCACTACATGTAAAAAGAAAAATTAAAAAATTTCTTTTAAATTCATTCGTTTCGATTATAGTTGTTTTAGTTGTTTTTTTGCAAAACATCTTTTATTTTAAATATTACTGGGCATGTGTGATAGAATGCTTGTAACTCACATTTCTTTTTAAGAACTGTTAGAACTACCATCATGCAGTAAATGTAGTATTTGCCTAACATTTCCTATATAGGTGGAGGTTTGCACGTAAGTATTCCTCCAGATATTTTCTGACATAACATTTACAGCTTAATAAACTTTGTATATGTTTTAGGCATGACTTTTCAGTAGTTTAACTAATGAATGAAAACAATAGATTTTTGAGCAAGTATACTTTAAAATTCACATAAGAACAAATCAGTCACGTATTTACTTATTACAATACTTTGAGACATTAATTGACTGTGGTTGAATGACTGTGTGTCCAAATGAGTAAGGAGCTACACGTTATACAATTGCTTCAATATAATGTTCTTGTTTGTCATAATTTTTAAGTAATTGCTACGTAGTCCAAATGCTTCTTAAAAAAACCCCCAAGAAAAACAAGAAGCCATTATTATTCTATCATGACGTTAATATTTAATCTTTATTGTCGTGAATTTCGTTCGATTCTCACAATTAGTTCGAGGAAGTCCAAATTGAACTTGAGTAATTGTCTTTTATTGTTTATCTCTCTCAAATCACATCATTCACATCACAACTCTTTTACAACAACAGCCCACCCACATTTCGACAGCTCTTATTAACTCAACATAACAAGTTTCTGATCTCAATTCTTTTTACTGGATTGTGCTAACATTCACGACATTATCAGGCACGGAGCATGAATTTTTTAACATCATTGTCAGATATGACTACTAGTAGTAGTAGTAGCTTAAACAGAGAAGGACAACGTAATGCATACGTATATAGCTACGTATAAAAATAAGCATTCATTTATCATGTAAGAAATACAAAATATTTTCCGTGTTTCCACACGCGAGAAAGTTGGAGAGAAACAAGAAGTTGCGTGGCAAGCACGAGCACAAATTGCGACGGCGAGTGCTTCCGAGCAATTTTGAATTGCTCAAAAACTTTCACAAGTACGAATTTCTATAACTCAATGGAAACAAGTAAATATGTCTTTTATTACATTCATAAAATAGCCTATTAAAGTAATATTAAAAAGAGAAGTTTATTGACATGTTGTTTGAAAAATTGTCTCATTAATAGTTTCCGCACAAACCATGCAATCTGCGATACTTTTACGAGACTGTAATAGAGATTCTGAAACACGGGGTTTTCGGGCATTCAACCAATCAGTGGCCGTGTCTTCAAAAAGTATTTTGTAAATTTATATTCAAAATACCAGAAAATCAAAGACTGAGACAACTTTAAAAAGAGAAAACCGTCTGTATCATCTACTTTTCTAGCTAATCCTACATCGTACGTACGCTCACTCAGTCACAATGTATGATCTCAATTATAATCACAAAATCATGTCAATACCTCAACTGTAGACACACTAGTTTCCAAAAAAGTTCTCCCGCCATGTTACCTTGCCGTTTCTTCTCAATCCCCATGACCGTTCTGTGTTTGAGTGACTCACGTTATTTATAAACTGAGTACTTATCATTATTGCACAGCGACATAAATAATAAAAACGACACGTCAATAATTGTACCCAAAAGCTTTAATTTGCATCCACTTGACAATAAAAATATTTCTCGGGCATTATCGCAAATATTATAGCTAGATATCGTAATTAAAGAACTCATTATGGAACTTTAGCAAATTTTATTTCAAACCACAAAACAAAACAGGTCGTCTGTAGAAGCTAAGTTTTTAGCTAGCAAAGGTTTTAGCTAGCAAAGATTTTTATCTGCGAATCAAATTAATACAAAGAAGGTGGACATTTATTAATTATTAACTACTAATTATTATTATGATATGTGTTATAGGAAGACATATTCTAGTGCTTAATGATTTATATATGAGTTTTGTCTTAATGTGTTAGGTGTCAGAAAAGAGATAGTTAATGTGAACAAGGTTTGTTCACCAATAAACCAATCTTTCCATTATCATCAAGCAAGAAAATATTTCTACAAGCTTCTACGAGTTAAACAAAAATCGGCTTTTATGGCATTTAAACATGCCCAAAATATCGGAAAAGTGCTTTTCAATGTAATTTAGGTAAATTGAACACAGCTGCATGTGCAAAATATAATTTATTCTTCATGATGGTGGCTATATAATTGTTGCCAAAAACATTTTTCAAACATAAAGTGTTTCTTTCTTTAGTGCAAGATGTCGATGCGTGTTTTTGTGATTTTTCTTTTAGTCGCTTTCTGCAATGCATCAAATAATGCTTGTCAAAGTTCACAAAGTGTTTTTACAACGACAAAAAACAACGGTATGTTACAATATAACAAAGATAACGTAATAATGAAAATGAATTTAAGGATATAAAAAACTCGTATGTTTTAAAACGCGTATGTTTTAAAAACCATTCTTGTGTTTTATTAACTTAACGCGAGGGAAATATATTTTTCGTTGAACCTTTAACAAAGCTCGAGGTCTTCGCCGAGATAAATCCGACCAAGGGCTTTTTAGCTAAATACAGAGACCGTACGGCGAGGTTATCTACTCAAAGACTAAAATCCAATATTTAACGGTAATGACCGAGCAGACAAGGTTGGTTGGCTTATTACATGACTTGAAACAAAGCTTTCTATCTAGCTTTGTTGGTCTTTAGTTTGATTTGCCAGTAAAATAATTTTTTTGAAATTGTGTCATCACATCTAAATAATAAAACTTACTTCTCTTGTGTCTTTAATTTCTTCGACTCATTCTCGTATATTGCTTGCGTTCAATGCCGAAACTTGTGTAAAAAGTTTGGTAATTCATCGGACAGATATATAGTTATAAAGTTTATTAGTTTTGTTAATCAGAAATTTTATCTGCCACCACTCACGCTTAATAAAAATCATGCAGTTTTGCAAGCATAACTTTACACTTTTGAAGTGACATATAATTGGAAATACTATAAAACTATACGCCTAAAGGTTTGGGCTCATTTAAGTTTATTTATAGAAAGCGTCTTTATGTAGTGCAGCCCAAGAATTTTTTTGTTAACTGCAGGTGAAAAACTTATAATATTCTTAATTTCTCATCTTTATGTTTGTGTTACGGAATCTATCTCCCGTCTAAGGTTGATATTGAATTTCTACATCTAACAACGCAAACATTAATTCATCAATCATTACAAGTACAAACAACTAACTATACATTGATACAAACTGGAGCCTAATTCACACGACATTAGCTAATCTGGGCTTAACCCTGGTTCAAATGTGCCCTGTATGTCTTTTTTTGCGCGTGATCACCATTAACACAGGTTTGACCTGGGTTTAATTCATTCCACTTCTTGATATGGGTGGAGTCAAACCAAGGTTAAACCTGGGTTTTAATGGTCAGCAAACGCAAAAAAATAGCCCGTGTGAATTTGAATCTTCGTTGAACTCAGGTTTGTTTATGTCAAATAAATTATACACGGATAAAAACACGGTGTAATAAACATGCACAATAATGTGAATATAACTATACAAAGATATGATCAAAGAATTTAATGTTGCAAACTAACGATAAATTGACACTATTGGCTGCTTTCGCTGAGCTTCCCTCAGTAAAATTAAACGGAGTTTACACATAACATGTTGACACGTCATGCATTTGTTAAAGAATTTGCAGGGCTTTATCTTAAAATTTTTAATGATTTGTAATCAGATTTTATATGCACGCGTACAAAACCCTGCCAGTTGTACTTCTTAAAATAATGGAACACTGAAATTATGAAAATTTTCCCAACAAATTCCTGAAACTTGCCCGACTGTTGAACCGCATGTTGACGTTTGTTCTCAGTATAGGACTGGTCTCGGGGCTAAGCTGGGAAGGAAAACGGATCGAATGCTTCGTGGCTTAATTGCATCAGATTACACAACCAATGATAACATCTTCTCCATTGATGTTCGTATAACCCAGAGAAAACCAATCAAACATATTAAAATAAAGAAGGGATACAATTATGGCAAATGCAACTTTATAGAAATTATAACTAATTGTATTCCAAGAGTATCCTTTAAACGTTGTGGATCACCAAATGTATTTGTACCATCCATAATGTTGTCTAATATTATGTCGCTGGCCCCAAAAATCGATGAACTACATGCGTACATTGCCAGTTCAAGTGTGGATATTCTATGCATCGTGGAAACTTGGTTGCAAAGTCATATTGATGATAACATTGTTTCGCTACCCGGATATAATTTAATTAGACGCGATAGACGTGAACGCATTCATGGTGGTGTTTGCGTCTATATTCGAAATACAATTAACTTTAGTATCCTGCAAGACCTTTTAACAAATGAGTTCGAAGCATTATGGTTAGATCTAAGACTGACCCGCTTACCAAGAGGCGTGTCCAATATTATTTTATGTAATTTGTACCACCCACCGGGGGCGAATGATGAGGCTATGATCAATTATCTTTTTGAATCACTACAAACAGTTGAAACAAAATTTCCAAACTGTGGGATAATTATCTCGGGCGATTTTAACAAATTGAACGTTCGTCTGTTAAAGAATAGTTTCCAACTGCGTCAGATCGTAAATTTCCCTACTCGTGGCAATAATAAGCTCGATTTGATTTTAACAAATTTGAAAGAATTCTACGATTCTCCAATTAAACGTCCACCCTTTGGACTATCCGATCATGTCACCGTAGAAGTGCAACCATTAAAAAGATATGAAAACTTTGGGACAAAAGTAGTGGTAATGTCAAGGGAATTGCGACCATCCAAACGTTCGGCCTTTGGTAAATATTTAGAAGAGGTTAATGTCGAACAGTGGGTAGGAGGAAATAGTGACGACAAAATGAAAATGTTAGAGCTCATCATTAACTTTGGTCTTGATTTCCTACTCCCCACAAAAAAGAAGGTGCTGATCAATAATGAGCCTCCTTGGATGACCAAATTGCTAAAACAACTGATCCGCCGAAGGAAAAAGCTTTTGCACAAAAGACCTTGACTCCTTCAAGAAATTAAGAAACCAAGTAAACCGAGAAAGAAAATCTTGTCGGAAACGTTTTACCAAAACAAAGTAGAGCATTTAAAATCGTGCTCATCTGCAAGTTGGTGGAAGGAAATCAAAAAGTTAAGTGGTATTTCACCGTCGGTTTCTTCACAGGAAGATATGATGTCAACGTTGCAAAATATTGATAATGCACTAACACCCTCTGATCACTTTCCTGAGCAACTTGCAAACATGATCAACGAATCCTTTCTAACACCCATGAAAGATTTTAACCCACTGCCCCAACAGTTATGCTTTGATAATGAGAATGATGATTTCCCGAGGTTATTACCTGTCACTGAGTTTACTGCTTTCAAGATGTTGTCAGCTCTTAACGCAAGGAAAGCAACTGGCCCAGACGGTATTCCCGCCTGGGTTCTAAAAGAGAATGCTGATTTATTGGCCTCTCCCGTGGCAGATATTATAAACAGCTCCTTTAAAGAGGCCCGGTTACCAGAATCATGGAAAAAAGCAAATATTACACCGATTCCAAAGCAGAAACCTGTACGAGATATTAATAAACACTTAAGGCCTACATCACTTACTACGATTGTATCAAAAGTAGCCGAGGAGTTTGTTGTGGAAAATTATGTCAAGCCAGCTGTACTTAAGAAGATAGACTCTAATCAGTATGGGGCAATTCCAAATTCAAGCACAACTATAGCTTTACTTAGTATGTTACAGTCGTGGAATAAAGCAACTGATGGTAACGGGGCGGCCGTGTGTGTTATTGGATTTCAAGAAAGCTTTTGATCTGATTGATCATAACCTATTGGTTGAAAAACTACGTTCATTTGATATACCGAAATGGGTTCTACACTGGATTATGGATTTCCTCTCCTTCAGGAAACAAAGAGTAAAGCTGAAATTCGATTGCTTTTCAGAGTGGGAACTCGTACCTGCAGGCGTTCCGCAGGGCACAAAATTGGGGCCTTGGCTATTTTGATAATGATTAACGATCTCAAGTTACCAAATAATAAAATGTGGAAATTCGTGGACGATACCACTGTTAGTGAAGTAATTGAGAAAGATCAAACAAGTAACTTACAAAACCAAATGGACACATTAGCGAACAGCATCTCGCGTGATAAGTTCCAGTTAAATGAAACCAAATGTAAAAAGATGCGAATTTGTTTTGGATCTAATACCAATGACCTTCAACCAATTACCATCAATAACATTACACTGGATACTGTCCAACACGCGAAAGTTTTGAGATTGGTTATAGCCAGTAACCAATAGTGGAACATCCACGTAAATGAAATAATTAAGAAATGCCGTAAACGCCTCTATTATCTTATTCAACTAAAACGAGCAAATATCGAAGTCAAGGAATTGCTCCAATTTTACAAAACGTGTATAAGACCTGTCTTGGAGTATGCTTGCCCAGTCTTCCACAATAGTCTGACATTGTATCTGTCAGATAACCTAGAGTCAGTCCAAAAGCGAGCATTAAAAATAATCCTGCCTCATCAAGAATATGAAAACGCTCTGCAGTTTACTAATTTACAACGCCTTAGCGAAAGGAGGAATGATATAACAACAGCTTTGTTTCAGACGATAGTAGCAGATTCCTCACATAAGCTTCATGACCTTTTTCCTCCTCGTTTAGAACGTTCAACTGTGGAACTTAGGACTCAATCTTCATTCAATACTAATTTTAATACCAAACGTTTTAGAAATGGTTTTATAACTTTTAACTCATTAAAGATGTAATTTAGTTAATTTATTTATGCATGTATTATATGTAATCTTAAACGTATTTCAGCAATATGGCTGCCAGTTTTTAAGAAATAAATCATCTATCTATCTATCTATCTATCTATCTAGTCCAAAGCTTGTAAAAGATTGGAGAGTTGTCTCACCCACCCCTCCCTCATACCCTGACAGAAGTTTCAGGAATTTTAAGACGCTAGACATTAAAAACATGTTCATATCTCATTTTTGAATTAACGCAACAAAAGTCTTACTATTTTTGCCGCGTGGATTGCATGTTATGAACGAAATAAGTTTCTTTTGCATGTTTATATGATTGTTGTCATAAAAATTACTAAAAAATCTACTGATGACGATTCAAACGCAACATAAAATTTGGCAAATTTAGGGCAATATCGTAGCTACCATTGTATCATCCCGTCTATGTAATATACGTACAGAAATTCTTTCGTTTTCGTTTAATTATAAATGATGATTGGTTACTTTTGAGAAACGAAGATAATTCGGGACTTTCTTTTGCTTCTTGTCTCATTGAATTTTGTAAATTTCAATTTTATTATGTATATAATGACTAGAAAATGAACTTTCTTATCTTTGTGAATAATTTACACCTATTGTAATGTATTCTGTTTTGCTCTCTATTTTAAGGTGAGATTCTTGCACCGAAAGATATCATTTCAACTCATGCTGTTCCCAATCACATTGAATGTTTCAGGAAATGTCATCAACAGAAGCTATGTGTTGGCTTCAATTTCTTATTTGATGCAAAAGAACATGAGATAAACTGCCAAATTACTAACATGATAACAGACAGCAATTTAACGAAAGTTGCCTCAGAAGGAAAATGGACTTTTTATCAAAGTCTACTACCGACGGTAAGAATAAAGAAATTAGCTAGTTGATTGTAAAATGTTTCTTAAGTGGGCATTTGCGTTAATTTTAAATAATTTATAATTCACGCTAATTTGCTCTACGTAAGTGTTGTGCAAAACTATATTAAATCTGACTTAAAGTTCCTTTAAAAAAAAATTTTGCTCATTTTTTGTTAGCCTGATCAAGTGTACGTTTTTGAAATCATCTTCTTGCAAACCCTCATACTATCCTACCGACATATTTTTATTTTTAGGTCTTCTTTTGTTCTGCATTGATTAGAGCATATTGGATTAAAGCAATGCATGATAAATATTACTCTTTCTTGCATTTTTAATATAATGTAATATAAAATACAAACGTCATTTTGAAAATATAGCTGGTGGAAAATTATGTACTTATTACATTTATATTGGCAATGAAATGGAGTTTCGTTTGTCTGTTGAACAAAAAATAAATTTCTATTTTAGCGAAGACAGTAAGGAGTGTTGAAGAATCTTGCACATGAAAAGATTTGTGTTATTCCTTTATTAAGAAATATATATTAATGATCAGTGAAATGCTCGCTAAGTCATCATCAATAAAAACATCAGTTGATGTTTAGAATCAGTTAATATCATTCAATTTGTCTGCTTAATTGTCAATCATTTATATTAAAAATATGATAACATTACCTAAATAAAAATTTGGGCTTTAATCTAATAAAACATATTGTCTTTAAATCGGAACGGTAGTTCATTAACCAACTTTACCACGCCTGTAGCATCTTAAATAATGTTTAATTATAATATTAACTGATTTATGCATGGAAACTGTGCATTGGTGAATTTCAAATATAAAATGTAAAATTCCGAAATGTTTAAGTGCGATTTTGTTTCTACTCAATTTGACCATTTTAAACAGGTTTTGTGTTCTTATAATGAAAGTTTGCGGTAAGAGACGTTAAATGCATCTATTATCATAACAAGCCATTATTAGCAACCTTTTTATTTAAACATGCTCTGCATCATGTACGTACAGACAGCCGAACGATAACTGACAATATCAGAAGATATATTTGTTTTCTACAATAAATCAAACACGCCACAGGTCACAGAATCACTATAAAATAAATTGATCGTTTAAGTTACTGAAATTCTCTTGATTTCAAAGATAAGAATTCAATTGTATGATCTTGAGTCAATTTTATTGCTAATTTGTTTTAACATTTAATTATAAAATGAACAAAATAGTTATTTAGCACAATGGATGTATGCGCAGGAAAGCTGTGTAACAATTTGCTTATAGGTTTAATGAGTTACAAAACCCATAAGACGTACAATGCAATAGCTTTTTTAATAAAACTTTTTTTCAGGGAAAAAACTGTGCAGATCTTTACAAAAAAGGTGAAAAAAAGAACGGAGTTTATGTAATTGATCCAGATGGCCAGGGCAGATTCCGTGTCTTCTGTGATATGACGTCATCTGGTGGAGGTTGGACTGTGTTTCAACGTCGTCAAGATGGAAGTGTAAACTTCTATCGCGGTTGGAAAGACTATAAACAAGGATTTGGTAATCTTACTTCTGAATTCTGGCTTGGATTAGATAAAATATACCGACTAACATCAGCCAAGAGAAACAAACTTCGTGTAGACCTTGGAGACTGGTCAGGAAACAAAGCATATGCTGAATATGATTATTTTGCTGTAAAGAATGAAAGTAAAAAATATCAACTAAGTCGTGGAGCATATTCTGGTGAGTCAATACGTAAATATAAACGGGAAAATTTCTAAGCGTGAGTTTGACATATGCAAAATGTTGGAATGATTTGAGTGATTGCAGTTTGCGATGGGGGATTCTGCAAGTTTTGAAAAAAACGGATAGTAACGGTTGGTTTCGAACTAAAGCCTTGTTTATCAGTAAAAATATAATTAATTTTGAGCTTAAAAACTTACCGAAAAAATACAACAAACAAACGTAAACTAAGAAGTCGTTCCAATTTGCGAACGATTCTGTTGCAAAGATTGATTGTGACATGCAATAATTGTGATTAGCTTATCATCAATATCAAATGCAAATTCAACTGCAGCTTTGTAAATTACGTAAAGATAACCAAGCACCTGAACAACATGTAGTTAATAAACACGACTAAATTATTTGGTACATAAGAAAGAATCTATACTGTGAATACGATTGTCTAATGATCATTGACTGAAATCTTTTTTATAAAATGCAAGCATTGAAGTAAGCCCTAGTAAATAATTGTAAATGCAAGTTTTTGAAAGCCTAAATGATGTATACATTACAACTTGTTCTTGCATGTAAAAGTTTTTTATGAACTTAGCAACAACCTAAAACATAACAGAAATTTATTTAAGTTTACATGGACAATTCACTTTTATAAGCATGAAACACAAATATATCAATTGAGCGTCGGAAAAATACCCAGGTGCGCCATTAAGTAAGGTCTGTTTCATAAGTCAAACTTTACATGCACCGAACAGAGCCCTCTATTTGTAAGAGTTCGGACATGTATTGTTCTCTGGTTTGCGAACGTTGACTGGACAATATCGATCACATGATTAATTTCCGCATTTTCGTTCCTAATTTTGAAATTTCAACTAGTTCTTATATGGCGATTATTACAAGTTTCTTTGTATTTTGAGAAAATATTTTGATTTTTTGGAGGTATGGTTACAATAATTGATTATTTGATAGCTAAAACATGTAACTATACACTAGGTGCCAAAAATATGAGTCCAGTTCCAATATTGGAAAAATTTGTGGGAAAAAATGTGTCTTTTGAAATATATAGTTACAGTAGTCACTTGAAAATGCGCAGTGAGACCTGAAATTGTCTTTCACAATTGTTTGCATGATATTTCACAATATCTCAGCCCATGGGCAGTACATTGGGAAATGGCTAAAGATTTAAATGAAGGAGTTAAAGGACAAACTGTTGCTCTCACTAACGAAGGTTACTCACAACGAAATGTTGCTGCAAAGCTGGGAGTGTCCAAAGGAGCTATGCAGCGAACCGTGGGAAGATTTAAAAAGACGCAATGTTATTCCAGCTTACCAAAACCTGGGAGAGCACGTATAACAACAACAAAAGAAGATCAGTTCATAAAGCTAAGTTCTTTGCGCAACAGACGAGCAACTGCTAGCAACATTAACTTGTCAATTAACGCCACCCGAGAGAAAGCAATCAGCAAAACAACAGTGAGAAGGAGATTGGCTGCAAGTGGTCTGAAAGGAAGAGTTGCAGCTTCCAAGCCGTTGCTTTGCCCGATAAATAAGCGGAAGAGATTCTCATGGCCCAAAAAGTACATGCATTACAACGTAGACAATTGGAAAAAAGTACTTTTTACTGGTGAATGAAAGTTTGAAACACATGGAAATAATCGCCGTGTTTATGTGTGACGAAGATGTGGTGAAAGATTGTCAAGTCAGTGCCTCAAGTCCACCGTGAAGCAGGGAGGTGGAAACATTCAAGTCTGGGGCTGTTTCAGCTTTAATGGTGTTTGGAGTCTTTACAGAAGAAAAGGCAATCTTGATAAAAAGCAATACCATTCTATTCTCCAAAGGCATGCTGTACCATATGGCAAAAGGTTAAGCGGAAGAGGATTTACCTTACTTCAGGATAACGATCCGAAACACAGCTCCAACTTGTGTACAAATTATTTAAGGAACAAAGAAAATCAAGGTGAATTGAAGCTCATGGCATTTCCGCCTCAATCGCCCGATGTTAATCCAATTGAACACTTATGGGATGAGTTAAAAAGAGAAAAAGTGAAACGTGACGTAACAAGCCAGGACAGGCTATGGGATGTAATCTCTACATGTTGGCATAATATTGAAAAATCTACACTTCAAAATCTTTTTAAATCAATGCCAAAAAGAGTTGAAGCCATTTTGAAAGCTAAGGGAGGATATACCATATACTGATATTGCTTTTTCGAGAACTTAAAACCTAACATTGTTGTGACAGAGTGGTGATATGGTTCAAAACTAAAAATATGCATTCGATATTTAGTGGACTCATTTTTTTGGCACCTAGTGTATATCGCCAGAATCATGGAATCGGGAAAAAAGAAAGAAATGCTTTACGATAGATTGGGTTGTGCGTAGTGGCCATTGTGTCTAACTGATCTTGACCTGAAGGTTTATTTACGAAGATTGTTTTCGAGTAAAACATCATTGGAAATATTTGTCCTAATGCTAACGATTCAATAGTTTTCCAACATACAAAGCCTGTTCTTTATAGAAAGATTATGACTTATCATTATGTTCAGAAATGACTCTAATTTACAAGTTCTTAACCACTTCAACAGATAATTATTGTTAATCCAATATGCTAAAATAATATACTTTCGAATATTGTATTTTGCATCTTTAGGAAATCCTTTGAAAGTATAGTATCAGTAATCATAAATAAAATATTTACTGAAACAGCTGGGTAAAATACATTACTGGTAATAAAATATATATTCTGACTGTACTTTAAACCAGAGCATGTTCGATTTGGTTATCAATGATTATTTCTGGTCTTTACACAATCAATGATTTGGTGTGGTCTTTGGTCTTTATAATTTGGAAAAATATGCAGAAGTTTTGTCATTACTCAACTTATTAATTTTCTACGTTTTATTAAAAATTGTATTAGACTCATATACAATATCAAAGTCTGTACAAACAGTAACATTTATAGCGAAAAATAATGTTCTTCAACAGCAGAATTGTTTTATAATACACAAACATAATTTCCTTTTCAACAAATGCCGCACCAAAATAGAAGCCTATACCATTTTGTATTTTAATTCAACTTTAACTATAATCACAGTTTCACAATCAATAAAGAAATCAACAACTTCACTTTAGATTAATACAATATAAGAGCTACTGCATCTAACAAATATTTTAAATTCATACTTTTCCAGCAAAAAACCTTTGTAATCTGTCTGCATTAAATTTTTATGCCTGACTACATTGCAAAATATGTACTACCAAAGCAAAATTTCATGACTACAGTGCTTCAAAACAAAACTTTGTACAACTATGGATAACACCGATTCAATGGTAGACACAGTTTAAGTCAAAATACATATATTAGTCAAAATACATTATAACAGCTCAATTGTTAATTTTTTAACATTCGCTCCCTCCCGAATCTGGATTTCTATTACTGCTTATATTAATGACAACCAGCGAAAACAGCAACGATACCGTAAGCATAAAATGTTGAAAATAATGCTTCAGGTTTTTGTGAAATAGACATACACATTTAAATGAGGTAAATCTACCTGAAAATAACGTACATTTTGTCAAATAATGTTTAGCTATATTAGAAATAAATATCAAACGGCATTCTTAACACTGTAAATGTGTCGTTAAGCTAAAATGCATAATCCCATTAGCATTACTTGTGTTTTTGACTGTTTGATAACAGCTTGGTGCAACTGTCTTTCTTAAATAGATGGGTAAATCTTAGTTAGAATGTCCAAAAGGAGTTAGAAAAGTTAGCTTACCCTACGACTTAATCGACTGGAAATATATTGTAAGTAGGTATGTAATTTTTTTGAGTTTTTGGTAAGATTGATTCTGGGTGTCTTATAAATATTATGATATTCTGATAAATCTACTAAGAACTTATGAAAAATATCTTGAACTAGGAGAGAAAAGAACAAAATTCAGAAATTCTATAATCATGTTGCTGGTTCTGTTTTGAGCCAAGATATTAGAAACTGGATTGTCATTGACAACCATGGATCTACTACTGGACAGAACTACATTAATTTACCATTGAAAGTACTATTTCTTAAAATTAAAGTGCATTGGTTTCTCTGACATAACACTTTTCTTATTGCTGCATGAAGGCAAACCTGTTTAAATAATTATAATGTAGGTGAAGATATTTAGCATGTTGTATAATTGTTAATATACAGTTATTATTTATAAAATTATGGCCTTGTGTAATGTATGTCAAGAAGAACTTATTAATTCTCAAAAATGCTAACCTTCTTGCACTACTTTTCTTTTGTGTCCTTACAAATTACAGTTACCTATACTAATTTTTTCTAGGTTCAAACAACTTGAAAACTTTTGAATTTTACATTATGCCTTTGAATTTTTCTTTTTGTCTTTTGGTAAAAATATCAGTGAATGACTTAAAAATCAAGTTTTTCTAATATAGGATTTTGTACAAAGTAACTATACATAATTGGAAAAGTCTCATATTGAAGACAGATGTTGCTTCTTTTACTAGATTGCTAGTCTTACTCTTTTAAATGATATCGTAATTCTTCAAAAGACATAAAAAGTTCTTTGCCATCAATTTTTGCTTCTTCCACATTCAACTTCAATGCAACCAATGCATCTTATGTGAATTTTTAATCACCTGGAATTGAAAAACGTATGGATTTTGTCAGATGATGCAGTACTAAATATAATGTTTCATGCATGTCATCATAAGCTTTTCTTGAGCAAATATTTCAAGGTAGGCGCAAAATTTGGCACATTATTGAACAAAGTAGTTTTTATCTTGATTTTGATATACTAACCTATTTACTACACTGCATAACAAACAATTCATTTACAGAGACACCAGATGGCATTTATAAAACTTTTAGCAAAAAGCAAACCTTTACACACCATCATCATGATTTTCCGTAATCTGTCAAATTGTCCAGGTTTGCTGTTTAATACAGGTATTTTTATTGTACATGTACCAAATCGTTCATTAATTAATCCTGCACTGCATTTGATTTCAATACAGTTCTTTCCTTAATATTTGCTTCATATTTTCAGAAAAATATCATGAACAAATCCTCCATTTCAACTCAGTTGAAACAAGGAGTTTTAAGATATGCATATCGCGATAAGAACTGGTTGCTTTGCCTCGTCTAGCAAGCGATTAAGTAAAGAACAAATAAGACTGCATAAACATAACTTAGATTATAACTTAGGAGTAAAAATATTCACAAAATATATACCATCACACTTCAAGTATTGACTTAAAACAAAACACTGAACACTTTAAATGGTAAACAATCTTACGTTGTTTACCGGTGTCATGAAATGTTTCCTTTTCTGACATTACTTCAGCATCCGTATAGCAAACAAGTTTGCACCATGTTTTAAAGATAAAATTTCTAAAGTTTTTATGCTTGGCATTGATATTTTATATAATCGCAATTGTGGTTGTCAAATCCGGGTGGGCGAAAAAAATTTTATTTTATGAGCCCGCGTCTTTCCGCTGACTTTGACAACCAAAATCCGCCATGTTTTGACCACACGGCCGCGCGCTAATAATTTATAGTAATTTGGTTGACATTTCCCCTCCAGGTCTTATAGAACTCAATGGTCACAATTAGTTTCAAAGCACGAACTAGTCAACAGCGAATGTAGCTCAAATCCACGAAATTGAGTTTGGTTTGCAGTAATTATTCACAAAAACGCCAAAAGCTAGATTGTGGTTTCCGATATATTTAAAATTTCCATCAAACTAGGCTGAATTTCTTTATTATTATGCTTATTTAGCCATTTTCACACAGTTTTATTACACGTTTAACTTGCAAGTAGTCACGAAAATGGCGGCTCCGCGCTCGCCCCAGACCCGTTGTTCTAGCTCTGGCACCGAACGCATTAAAGACAAAAAAAAAATGAGATAAAATTCCAAATTATCTGTTGTTTTAAATGCATTCGGCTTATTTAAAACGCTACGTATGAAACAGGCCAAAGCAAACAAATTTTGAAAATCTATAATATAATAAGAATCAGTCCAAGTAACAATTGAGATCAATGTGAATAGACTGGGTAGAGAAAAACTTCAGGGCAATGAAGGTGGGGTGAAAGAAAGTTAAAAGCCTTCGTGACATGTAGCTAATTCGTAGACAACTTTTACTTTTGCGATTTACTTGATTTCGAGAAGGATAAATGGTTTAATAAATTAGTAACAACAACTATAATACCAGCGATATTGTCCAGTCAACATAATTGTGCATGATTGTGGTTGGGACTTCCGCAATTCTTAAGGAGAATTGTAAAATAACATCAGCTAAATGACGTAAAATTTTTCTGAGCAAAATTACTTTTTTTAGGAACTGCTGGAGATTCATTACGTATTCATAATGGCATGGCGTTTTCAACAAAAGATTCAGATAATGACAAAAGTGAAAGAAACTGCGCCACTGTCCTGAAAGGTGCTTGGTGGTATAATAATTGTCATTCTTCCAATCTGAATGGGCACTACTATAGTACAGCATTCGACGGTGGGAGAAGTGTGAGTTGGCTTTCTTGGAAAAAAAACTATAAATCCTTAAAGTTTTCAGAGATGAAAATGAAAATGACAAAGAATATTTAATATTGTGTTTTCTTAACTTTCATGAATACATCTTATGAAACTTTGCATAATATTTACATTTGATAATAATTCTTTCGATAGAACTTTTACAATCATCATTTTTTAAAACAGCGTGGAAAAAATTCTTGAAAAATGCTGTGGTGAAATAATAAATTTTTTTCTTCCCCAAATGATGGCAGATTTAATGCTATAGTTTTGCAGTGACGTCTTTTCTTTCATTTCTTTGACGTTTGTGGTGAAAGTTAATTGCAAAAAATTTTAATGTTTTTTGCCTCGTTCTCACGCCATCTTGGATTTGTCATGCATTTCATGCGACTATCTGATATATTATCTGGTTTGTCATGAAGCAAACTTGTTACCGCCAAAGAGGATGGTTGCACATAACCTATTGACAACACAGTGTGTCTAACTCCTTGTTGTTTAGATAGAGTTAAACCACTAGATAATTCATTTGAAAATTTGAGTAGAAATTCACACAAAAGTGAACGCAGTCATACACACCTTACATTTAAGCCCATTACTGTTAGTAATTAGAAAATCAAAAGAAACCACGTTATTCAAGAAGACTTTGAATGAAGACGCAAACAAACAATTGTGTTGGTGGAGATAATTTACATACATGCTACATCTGAATGACATTCTTTCTAATCACCAAAAAATGTACTTCACCCTAAACATCACAATGGATTTTACCATTATCATGACGAAACTTGTCTCCAGGTTTCTCCTCGGAAAAATGCTTGAAATGATTTAAGCATTCCATTCGAAAAAGGGCGTATTCCTGAAAGAAAAAGAGAAGTAATCAAGTAGATGAAGACATATTAACTATACATGAACTTTAGCCTTAAGGAAATCAATAACATCATCCCATTATACTGAAAAGGCAATCTTATTAAAATAATATTTACTAAGGATTAATTGAGAAAATATTTACTGCAAAAATGTAAACAAGTTTGTGTACATGTTAGAGGCCCCATTCAACGTACAATAATGCACCAGTTAAACTGCATGCAAACAACTCTGTTTGTCTGTTTAGGTTTTAATAAAATTTTTGAATTCATTCGTTTTCATTATTTCATAGAAGAAACAGAATATATATTTCGCAAAACATGTTTTGTTTAGATAGATAATTTTATTTTAACACGATTACCATTGTCAACATACAAGTTGATTTCCACATGGGGCGTGTGCAAATAACACTGGGCAATGGTGATAAAAGGCGTGTAAACTCACAGTTCTTTTTAAGAACTGTTTAAACTACCATCTTGCAGTGAATGTAGTATTTGCGTAACATTTTCTATTTAAGTTGAGGTTCGAATTTCTCAAGATATTTTCTGACGATTTTAAATACGTTGTTTGTAAAACTAATACGTTGTATGTGAGACTAATACGTTGTATGTGAGATTCATACGTTGTATGTGAGACTAATACGTTGTATGTGAGATTAATACGTTGTATGTGAGATTAATACGTTGTATGTGAGACTAATACGTTGTATGTGAGATTAATACGTTGTATGTGAGACTAATACGTTGTATGTGAGACTAATACGTTGTATGTGAGATTAATACGTTGTATGTGAGACTAATACGTTGTATGTGAGATTAATACGTTGTATGTGAGATTAATACGTTGTATGTGAGATTAATACGTTGTATGTGATTCATACGTTGTATGTGAGACTAATACGTTGTATGAGATTCATACGTTGTATGTGAGATTAATACGTTGTATGTGAGACTAATACGTTGTATGTGAGATTAATACGTTGTTTGTGAGACTAATACGTTGTATGTGAGATTAATACTTTGAATTGCGAGATACATTGTTCGATGTAGAATGTTCCTTATAAGATAGGGTATTTTAAAAATAGCAAATGGTGTTTAGGATACAATACCACGGTACGACAATACAAGAAAGAAAAAGCCAAATTCAGTCACGTGATGTAAATCTAACGGTAAACAACACTATTGAACAATTCATCTACTTACGAGATAACCAAAATTGATCGAGGATTTATAACTTTGAAGAATTGAAAACATCGCCCAAAAGAAATGAGAAAGAAGAGACAATCTATAGAAAAAGGAAAACAAAGCTGATGTTATTTCATAAATATTTTTAAAACATACGTAAAATTAACATTTATTCGCAGAAAAACAAAACCGACGCCAATATGTAAGCACATGCGTACAATAGGTAAAAAGTTACTTGAATAGGCTGTGTAATAAAAGACTATAAAGGTATACATAAAACCAACCTAAATTAAATGGCATCATTAAACCCTAAACTGACGTATTCCAAAAACTAAACCTTAAATAAACGAGAACTACGTCAATCAATCAGTCAAGACATACGTACTCATAGAAATCTAAGAATTTCCAAAATTTATCTTGCGCTATATTAATATAAGAGGACGATTGTTAAAATATTTACCTATCAGCTTCGTCGATAACTTTTTCAATCTCGTCTAACGTGACGTCAGTCGTTTCATTGTAAGCTTGTAAATACGCACGGACGAAAAATACCTGAAATTTCGAAGAGTTTAGAATAAGAATTTTTCACGAAATTTTTATTTCATGAGCCCGCGCCTTTCCGCTGACTTTGACAACCAAAATCCGCCATGTTTTTGACCACGGGCCGCGCGCTAATAATTTATAGTAATTTTGTTAACGTGTTCCCTCCAGGTCTCATAGAACTCAATGGAAATACCTCTACGGCAAAACACCGACGACAAAAAACCTCTACGGCAAAACACAGACGACAAAACCTCAAAACACCGGGAAAACCTCTACGGCAAAACACCGAGGGAAAACCTCTACGGCAAAACACCGGGGAAACCTCTACGGCAAAACACCGAGGGAAATACCTCTACGGCGAAACACCGACGACAAAACCTCTACGGGAAACACCGGGGGAAAACCTGTACGGCAAAACACCGAGGGAAATACCTCTACGGCAAAACACCGAGAGGAGAAAGCAAAATAAGCAAAGCAATCAAAAGAAAAAAAAAACACACGAGAAAAACAGAAATAAAGTACTGAGAATAGATAGTTATACCGCAAGGAAAAGCAAAATCATCACATCATTAACACATGGTAGCTATAAATGTTGTAATTCAATTCAAGCAATAATAGATAGCCACATTGTAAACAGCAGATCATCCTTTTCATATGAACTATAGTTCGGGGGTTATTTTTAACCATAAAATTGTTTTTATCTTTTCTTAAATTATTACATATATTAGTGAATTACCTTTTGATCATAAGAAGGATATTTGGTGACGTCTCCGGTAAAAAAGGGATAATGTGGATGATTATAATCAAATATCCATTCACTGAAATGATTACCAATATCGTATCCTCTGAATCAAAAAATAACAAATATTATAAAAAAGTTTGACAAGGTAAACGATGTTTAAAATAAGAAAAATTGAACAGTTTCGATGAAATAAATAATTTAAAATGTTCAAGAAGAAAGATAAGCAGCCGGTTGAAAAGCATTATGGGTACAATATGGTTGTTTTGTTGCCAGCTCTTCCCCCCCCCCCTTGCTCAATTATTGACTGCTTTAAAGCCCGCCCAACACTGGTGAACTTGCCGCGCGTACTCGTTATTCGTGACAAGTGTGATCGACAAAATTTCCTAGTGTGCGCGGAAGTTTTGAACAACATTTGTCATTCGTGACAGATGAGTCAAATATCAAACGCGCGTTTGTTTAATTTGGTCGATCACACTTGTCACGAATAACAAGTACGCGCGGCAAGTTTACCAGTGTGCGGCGGGCTTAAGTGAACAAACAAAACCCTTGCTATCATAATATTTGACAACTCTACGCAGCGCAAAGATGAAATAATATTCCAGACCTAGAACAAAATGTCTCCTTTCTTCCTTCCTCATTTGCGGTTTAAACGAAAATTATCCTTCACTCTTTTTTTTCACCTGTAGTTATAACACGAATATTCGAAATCAATCACACGAATTTTTGCCTCATCGAGATCTTCATTTGCTTTCACCAACAAGTTTCCTGTAGGTATTTAAATTATATTTAACCTTTATTAAAAACCCATAATATTCACAATAACCTAGTTGGAAATCTTTACCTGGTTGTACGTCATTATGGCAGAAGAAAACTGGTGATTGGCTGTTTTCAACCACGTGCCTAACACATCAACAACAAAATAACAATAATGTAAGCAACATTTAAATTCATTGATCCTAAAACATCTTTTTGGCACATAAGCATTTTTAGTTTAATTAACTTTGTACATGGTTTGTGCATAGCATTTCAGCAGTTGATGTCTCATGATATAATTCAATAAATTAATGATTTGTGATTATGTGAATTTAAAGTACTCAAAAATCTATTGTTTTTATTCATTTAGTACTGTGGTTGATTGACTGTGTGTCCAAATAAGTAAGTACGTCATACAATTGCTTCAATATAATGTTTTTCTTTGTAAAAATTCTTAAGTAAAGGCTACGTAGTCCAAAGGCAGCATAATAAAAAAAAACCGCAGAAAAATATGAAGCCATTATTATTCTATCAAGACGTTGATATTTGATCTTCATCTGGCATGAAGCATACATTTTTTAACATCACTGTCAGACTACTGGCTAGCAGTAGTAGTAGCTTAAACAGACAACGACAACCTAATGCATATGTATAAAAATAAGTATTCATTTATCACGTAAGTAATAAAAAAATTTACTGTGTTTCTAAACGTGGGAAAGTTTGGAAGAAAAAATAAAATGCGTGGCAAGCAGGAGCACGAATTGAGTACTTTCAATGCATTTCGAGTTGCTCCAAAACTTTCACAAGTATGTATTTCATTCATAACTTAAAACCAACATTAAAAGACAAATTTACGTTATTTTTGCCACGCAAACCACGCAATCTGCGATAAGACTGAGTTTCTGAAACACGGGGTTGGCGAGCATTCAACCAATCAGCGCCAATTATAAATTTACTTTCAAAATACCAGAAAATCAAAGATTAAGACAACTTTAAACAGGGAAAACCGTCAGTATCATCTACTTTTCTAGCTAATCCTACATCAGTCAGTCACAATGTATGATCTCAAGTATAATCACAAAATCATGTAAATACCCCACCTGTAGTCACACTACTTTCCCAACAAGCTCCTCCCCACACGTGACCTGTCTCCCTAGTCCCCATGACCGTTCTGTGTTTGAGTAGCTGACTATTTTCCATACCTGATATATTTGAGAATTTCATCAATGTCAAATTTATGAAAAATTTCATCCAAGATCTTTAATTTATCAACATTGGAAAATTTAAGACCTTTAATTTCCTTCACAAATCTATCAAAAAAAATATAGTTTATGTACAATCAATGTATTATATACTGTACACTGTGATAAAATAATAATATAAGGAGATGGTGAGGTCATTTTGAACAATATGAAGTCTTGAATATATTTTAAAAAAAGTTGTAACAGAAAGTGGGTTTACTTCAAAACTATTTCAGATTGGTGCAAAAGATTCAAAAAGTCAAACTCACATTTGAAGTGAATCCAAAAACCAAGTTCCTTCCTTTGAGAGAGGAAGTTTTAGCTTATGAAATGCAGCAACATGCTCAGCTATTTGTTGTGATAAACGAGGATACTGGACTTCCCGACTAGTTAATGCTCGAACCTTTAACAAATTACAACACAAGTAAATTAAACTTTGGTAAACAATGCAAAAATTAACGTTGCGAAAATTTCAACTATTTAACAGTTTAATTCAAAAATTATAAGCTCTTTCCAACACAAATGAGAATGAATTTACAATTATTCTATAAAGACTGTATAGTGAGCATGAAATAATCAATACTGATTATACTACTATCAGTGGAATACAAACTCAACTGTGCCAGAACAGATTTAAATTGATATTAAAGCTGGAAAGCTAGGGCACATTCTTTCCATACAAGCAGGTGATATACTCATTATAAAAAGATAAACTTTCCTTACATTAATCGCTGATTTTTTTTGCTACTTACATTAGGAATAAACTGTTCAAGTCTTCCTTCAGGAAATATACCATACAACTCTGGGGCCATCTTTTTTTCAGCTAAAAGGCCGCAAATGATGCATTCCTCCATCATGCGAACATTGTTGTCAGACAAATCTGCATAGAATGCGCCATATAGCCGAAGCAGTGCTTTGTTCACACCATCAGGATTTGAATTTACATATTCATGTGGCAGAGAGCACAGAAACAAATGATTCGTTAATCCACCACTGTAATTGTTAAAAGCGTATTGGTTAAAATAATCACTCAAACTATGATTTCATCTCTTCTGAGAGGTAAGTTTATCAACAAAAGAACAACGATAAACAAGCATAGAGGTAAGATCAGAGCATTAGTTAAATAAATATACAAAATAAGCCCATTCTTAGATTAATCATATCTCACAAGATCTTTTCTTCTGGAAATTAATTTCTAAATCAAAGGCACTGTTATGAAGATCCTTTGCATATAAAACAAGGATGCATATTTTATTTGACATATGTATTCTGCCTCCACCCCTGAACAGAACTAAAAAAACTTTGAACAAGAAAATATCAGACATAAGAAATATGAGACATGGAAGTTGGAAATTACAAAAAAATTAGCTGCACTTGAGAAATTTTACCCCTTTCATGGACAGACACCAGAGAATTCTGCAATTGCAGAATTCTGTGTTTATTTGGCTGGCATAATTGCTGGAGAAATTTCTACATATTAAGATGAACCTGGACTTTAGGTGTGACCGAAGATATCTTTTTGAAATCCATCACACTTTGCAATCTGCAGCCTTGCTAAACTGCAGAAAATCTTTCATATCGCATCGAAACATATAAATCTTGAGAAGAAATTTAGTGTGGCAGCTAACACAAACAGCCCAGTACTCTTTAAAATGTTGGCAATAGAGATAGAGAGAATATTTTCACCTTAAATTTCATTGAGAACATTTTTACCATTAAATAATTGTCGCCCCATCTAAACAATATAGTTCTTACAGTTGCGTATTTGAAAATTGTACTTACTGAATTCGTTCAATTTCAAAATGTTGTGGACTGATTTTCTTCCATTTCCCACCAAGATATTTTCGACATAAATTATAGCCGAAATCTTTGATCTTAGCGTCAACCATTTTTCCAGTAAGAAAATAAATTTTCAAACTACGCAGAACTTTGTAGCGAAGCATGGTCGAAACCAGCCAAGCAACAACGCAGTCATTTTAGTGATGGCTTGAGAAATGTGTCGAATTTACTCAGGAAATGACAACAATCACTGATTCTACGGTCGTTGAAGGTCGATCATGAGGTCGTTTGGTAAAATGAGGTGTAAAATTGCAAGAACTTTGCACAAAGTACATGCAACAAATGACATGATTCAACGTAAACAAAGCTTTAGCCATGTGATACTTATTCATTCGTGCACAGAAAGCGGTCTACCATTTCCTGTTATGAAGTGACATGTAAACTTCATCCGTCAATATCACAAAATCATTACCAACAAAACTAATCGTGAAAACGCAGAGCCAAAGGACTTCTAGAAAACGATTAACGTGGTAATGAAATGTGCTTTTGACTCTGAAGATGACTACCGCTAAGGTTGTCGAAACGTCAGTCAACAACAACAAAAACAGTCCTTCTCAGGACTATACCAACCTGGACGATCTATATTAACAAACATGTAACGATACTCCCGGGTTCAAACCATTTACTTGAAATGTGCATTGCTTACAGTAATAATATTAAGTAATTAAATTATCATCGTTTATTAGTAATTGTAATATTACAAATGATTAGTGATAGCAAAAAATGTACTGTAACCAGTGGCGTAGCTAACAATTTCTCTGACAGTGCAGATAGATAAATTTTCCTACAACAGGGGGTGGCAATTTTGGCGTGGCTAAAAGAAATGTATTTTTTAAAAATGGGGTTTAAAAAGTGTGTACAATTGAATATACATAAGGCTTTACCATTTTAAATAAACAGGGTGCAATAAATGTGAAATAACAAATGATTATTAAAAAATTCTCCTAGTTTTGTCGTTGAAGAAAGGCATTTGAAGTTCTCGAATCGAAATTTTTGAAATAATTTCTCGCGGTTGATGGAAATACACGCGAGATTCAAAAGGCGTTTTTCTGTCATAGTACTGCCTATCTGTTTTTTATCGGAAATGATTAATGACATTTGGAGAATAAGGAAATTTGACGGACACTGAAATTAACACGTGAATATCTTTTACAATTTGCTACCTACTTATAAATTACTGCAAAGAATTTGATAAAAACTTTTACAAATGGCACACAATCTATAGCTATTAATTTTATTGGATGAGAATGGATTTAAAGTCCAAATATATTTCATTTTTGTTGTACTATTGAATAAATAATCACTTTCATCACTTTGCCGTTTCACTTCAAAAATTCCCACAGGTTTCCAAATTTCCGACAAACACCATCAATAACGTTGAGCGCGGGGAGGCGCTTAATTTTTGAAAACAATCAAAAAATTTTATCCAATCTGAATGAATGAATGAGAAAACAATTTTAGCCAATCTGCATCGCGTTTTAGCATTCAAAAATATGACGAATGTTTAGATAAGTGTCCTAGCATAGGTTTTGAGAAATATTTGGCACAAAACCTAAAAACATTTGCATTTTCCATATGCATGGAAATACATTTTAATGTAAAAAACTGCAAAATGCAGTAAAATTATTCATGACTAATGAGATGTATTTTTTCGTGGTCTTCCATGTACTTATAAGATATTTATGGTTTTGTGAAAGTGTTTCTGTTAACGGTCGTTAATTTGTACTGAGAGTTGCCTACCTTGTCAAGACCTTTAAGACCATACATACGTGTAACTCACGCGAGATAGTCCACGTAACAAACATTGCATATAAATCAAGAAATATACTTACTACATAAATCGATTGCATAAAAAACATAAACAGATTTCTGGGCCGCCAAAGGTAGGACATGCAATACTGGAAAGTTTCTACCTGTGAATGAAAGTGAACTAATGTCTTCTACAATCTCGGGAGAAACTGAAAAATTCTCTGTTGGCCTTGTACAATACCTCGTCAATGACATTCTATAGGGTACTCTTCTCACAACACTCCATCCGTATTTACAAATTTTGCAGAGTACACTTTGAATCTTCTTGCATGCAAATCTCTTGTGGTGATTGCTTCCTCTTCACTTTCAAAATCAGATTCCTCGTCCTAAAGCAAAGACACTGCTATATATTTTTTCATGTCTTTAGCAAGATCATGAACAATTCCCACTACTATATACCACTTGAGCCAACGAGTTTAAACAGTGTAAGTATGATTCATCGATATTTCTTTAAACAACATCTCCAGAAGACTCGGTTTTGTTACTCGATTGTTTTGGTATTGAAACCTCGTCTTCGCCATGGGTACAGAGCTTTTATCGTCGTCAACATGGTTGGAATCATTCGTATTTTCTTTGGTCCACGAGTCACATTCCAAATTCTCGAGTGTACGCTTGATGCTTCAACTACGTTCAGTTTCATCAAGCTTTCTTCAACCTACAAACGACTTAATTACCAATAACTTAACAACGAGTTACTTAAACATACCCACGCGTTACAAATATCTCAACAAGTTTCCAATAACATACCAACGAATTACCAATGAGTTACCGCTAGCAACCTACTTTTTAGTCTACATAGCTACATTGCTTAAAGCTCAACAGCAAGTTTGCGAACTATTCTCAAGGCAGTAAAAAATTCCTCAAAAAGATATGAAGCATTTTAAACACTAAAACGGATATAAGTCAAAATGTAAGAAATCATAGACTGCTGCAGCTGCTTTTCTTCTTCAAGGAGATAAAAAGGAAATTTATATTTTGATACAAACACACAACATTTGAAAGCTCAGATACTGATCTTTCATTATGGTAAAAAATCACGGTAACTTATTTAGTAATTTCAGTTATGCACAAGAGCAAACGGAAGTTGGATTGCTTTTTGCGACACAGTTTCAGTAAATACTATACCAAGTCCAAATAAAAATCCATCTGCCAATCAATCAACACGAATAAAGACTGTAGAGATTTATTTCATTGTAAAGACTATAAGCAACAAATTCTACGACAAAATACATAATGTTCACTACAGATATATCATTATCGTTATGAAATCACTTTATTAAAAATTTCCTGATTGTTTCATTTTCATTTCAGTGAATTTTAAAGAATAAGAAAATCCTTTCCAATCTTTCCAAACAACACCTTTGTACCAAGATACAGAAGGTTGATAATTGCCATGATAATAATAACCATTTAGGTTGGAATCATAACAATAATAATACCACCAAGCACTTTAGCATTTACAGCGCAGTTTCCTCCGCCATCTGTTTCTTTATCTGAATCTTTTGTCGGGATTTGGACTTTTATGCGGCATGCGTAAATAATTATTACTGTACTTTGTCGGGCTAGCCCACCTCATGCGAATCAAATAAGAAACTGGCCCGGCAAAGTCGGCCAGCCCGGCTCATATGAACAGGCCCTAAACTAAATTTATAAAAATTCTTCATGGTTTGATTTTCATTTCACTGGTTTTCACGTTATTAAACCAAGCCAAGCAAGATTTTTACCATTAAGGTTGCTATAATAACAATTTTTATACCACCAAGCACCTTGCCAGTAAGCAGCGCAGTTTCCTTCATCATCGGAATCTTTTGTTGAAAACGCCGTGTCTTTATGATAGCTTAATGCATCCCTAACATTTCCTGAAAGGTAGTAATGGCTCTTGAGCTCTGTCGTGATCTGTATTTTAAAGTACACATGAACACATTTTGGTGTTAATTATTCTGATAGATCTTAAAAAGGTTATTCAGAAAATTCTAAATTTCATTTTGGGTATTTAAATTTCGGTGTTTTGATAGCTTGATTTAAACACAGGACTCGACCAAAAAGAGAACTCATTGAGTTTATGTTATGTATAATATTTTTTAGTCCAGGCTTACAATTTTCTACTTGCTTTACAAGAACAAATCTTTTCATCTCATGGAAAATTACAAATATACCGTTTTTTTTGCGCTGTCATGCTTGCGCCATTCCCTTCCTTGGTTATATAAACACAAAACAAAAGAAATTCGACGTAAAAGTGCCAAAATACGAGCTGTACTTGTAGATAATATGCAGACAATCGTTAATCTTTCGCAGGAAATTAAATTCTTCTATTAAAGATAATCTTGACAATGTATGGTGAATTTTTTAGCTGTAAAGGTGGTATTTTTGTTGTGATTGACATTCTTTACAATAACTAGCAACGGAAACTTAAATATTTCTTACCCCCTTTTGCAGGTGCCAACGTCTTTATGCAAAAGCAAACTTTGATTTAAATAATTTAAAAGCCTAAAACAGTGTTTCAACAAGACAAAAATAATTTTTTAATAATGTATCACTGTTTGTTAAGCTCTATTATGAGTTTAAATGTAAAGAAATACATAAAAATGCATTTTTTCCAGTGTATGATCCAGTGTAATGATATGATCCAGTGTAATGACGCCAAGGCGCGAAACTTTATAAGATTATTCAACTACATAATGAAATTCATGTTAAAACCACGAGAAGTTAAAGTGCTTATCTCACAATTTTTTTTTCGAATTTTCGTATTGCTTCTTCAAAAGTAATCTAAAACTTATATTACAATTTTTTCATGCGCTGCATTGTCTTCGAATTATTATTGATCAAATATGAAATTTGACAATAAAAGTTGATAATTGGCATAGGGCCTGGATCAAATCTCTGTGACGTAACTTAAGGAACAAGTCAAGCGCTGGTCATAAACAATTAGATGGCGGAGTTGAATTCTGATTAGGAAAGCTCTCATACTTCGCAATGTGATTCGGAGTATGATTATATTCCCGGTTATGTCATCGAAGATGAAACAAGGAACATTAATGACCAGGAATATAATATAATAGATGAAAATCACGGCGAGTCCGAGTCCTATCTATACGCTGATGAACCAATGGCCGAACAAGCATGGTATGAAGACTACGTGGAAAAGTCAAATGAACATAAAAGCAACTTGAAATGCTACAAAAACTTGATCACACAGTTGAGTTGAGTTCTTGGTGAGTAATAAAATTTCTAATTTTAATTCAACTTATGAAATGTATTTCAATTCAGGTTTCAAGTTATGAAATATAGACATAAACGTGCAATTTTCTATTCAAGATTACCATCGCTTTTTATTTATTTTGGGTAAAAATTGTTAAAAGATGCTCGATTACAATTTTTTAATGTGATTTTCTTTATTGATCAGGTGCAAGTGTGGTTTTTGTCAAGTTACACTTCTTTGGAATCCTCTAGAGGCCTGGTGCTGCCAAGAACTTAAGTCTGTAGCTGAAAGCTTAACGCACCAGTCGGTTCTGGCAGATCTGTCAACTATTCCATGTTGTGTCACTCTACACCCAGGTTTCAGACCAGTTTGTTTGGAGAAGTGGTCGCTAAAAACGGCTGCTAGGAAATACAAAACCAGAGAACAAAGACGATACAGAGAAACAGGATCTGAAAACATGTATAATAGCATATTATTTTATTTCCCAGTATTTAAGTATATTTTAGTGTTATGACACATTAGTAATGATTTGGCTTTATATTCAGGTTTTTACGATGTGTTGCATACAGAGAATTCACATCTATGATTTATGGAAGCTTAGGAGAGGAAAGAAGACCATTACCAGCATGAGCATACCATGCAATAAGATCAAAATTTAATGATAAAAAGTTGGAATTTAGAGGGTACGAAAAAAATGAAATAAATGAGTGATGTGAAAATTAAGTTTTCCTATTTTTTGGGCACTCTGCCACATGTTTGTGACCTTTCATTGGCTTCTTGCATGTCAAACATTTTGGCTGACTTTTTCTTTGAAACTGCCACTTTTGACTGACAGCTGAATGGCACACTGGTAGCTGCTGGCATGAAACAAAAACATTTTTATTATTTAAAATGATTTTCAAACCATGTTTAGCTACCACATCTTATATAATCATTATTAATTACCTGGAATTGAGGGAGGGACATCATTGACCACAATGCATTTTCAACGGCCTGTTTTAGTAACACCTCAGCTCTGGGTTGCTTTTGCAGCATGACATTCATTGGTGGTGGGGACATTTCTTTCAAAAGATTTTGTGAATTTGATAATGCGTCTTTGTCTTTTATTGACAGCATCACACTCTCAAATAATTCATCCACATACTCTAAAAAGAAATTATTGTCGTATTCAATACTATGAAATGATGCAAAGCAACACATTTAGCAACAACTTACATTGTCATATTGGAAATTTTCGCCCACCTGCAATACATTCCAACATAGGAATAATGAATCATTTTTGGAGCAAAATGATTCAGGACAGAAAGGAATATTTCCAAACAACTTGTTTGAGCAACAGGTGAAGCCTGGTGAATTGACTTCATCAGCTGTGGGTTTAACAATTTAGCACTAAGCTTTTCATGAGCAACTGAACCTTAAACATTACAACAAAGAATGATGATAAACTGTAAGGGAAGTTATCTTTAAATAATGCCTTCACAAAACTTCTAACAAATATTCCCTTGGTTTAATATCAGGGCCATGAAAACAACTTGAAAACAGTGGATTATCCAAATTGGTGTGCTTGTCTACTATGTGACTCAGGAAAGATTTGAACTTTGCCCAAATTTCTTTGCCATCACAATAATAAACAGCCGAATACTTAGTCGGTGTCCATTGAGCGCGTTTTCTTGCAACAAAATTCACCCAGATTTTACGTCTTCGCTTCGCTTCAGGACGCTCATCACCGTAAAATGGTATACGGTGAAGAGAAATTCTTTCCGCAGAATTTGCTCGGTTTGAACAGACGAAAACTGCACATCTATCAGGCATTTTGATGCAGAGCCGTAGTAAATAAAGTAGAAATTATAGCAAAAGTCACACTTCAGAAAAACTTCCTGTCCTTATGTTACGTCACATACTTCTCGATTCAGGCTCTTATCAAGCAAATTGAACGCGCAGCAATTTTCTCCATAATTGCCGATTTTGAGAAAAGAAACGCATTTATCTCATAAACGAAGCCATCAATCAGAAAATTATAAAATAACTTTTACAATGATTTTTTTACCTCAATCAGAAAATTCAAAAAAAAAAATTGTGAGATAAGCACTTTAAACTTGAATCCTAACTTCATTTGTGTTTTCTCTGATAGCATAATTTTTAATTTTGTAAATATGCATTAAAGATGACCTTTAAGCGAAAATCTAAAAGGTAAGAATTCTAAAATTTGTCACTTGATTCCAATTTGTACCATTACTACTATGGTATGGCATATGGGTGAAACATGTTTTACTGTTGGTTGACAGTATTGGTGATTAATAAATCAGGGACGATTTTCATATTAGAATTTATTATTTTTATTGCCTATTATGTTATATTTTTTAGATGTTGATCGTCCAGCTTTGTGCAGTCCTGAAAAGAATTCTTGGTGTTGGTGTGTTACTTGACTCTGATGATCAAAGGATGTCAAAATGTCAATCATTAACAACACCAACAGTCATTTTCAGGACTGCTCTAACCTTGAAGATCTACATCTACAAGCATTTAGCTTTACTCATGTTTTATTTTCACCATCATCTCTTGCAGGAAAGGGAGAAAAAATGTTAATTATACTGATATGAGCTCCAATCGTGAAAGTGATGGTAATGTATTATACATACAGTGATCTCATAGCTACGTAGCTATTAATGAAAATTATTATTGCTCTGTTTTACAGTAAAGTATGTGGTTATACACTCTGGTTTACATAGGTAGGAGAAGGGTGCATTTTATATTATATCAGTTTACATGTACCTATATAGACACTGTTCAAAAAAATACTGATGCAACAAATGTGAATGTAGGCCCCACAATTATTTACTGACTGCATGATTGATCTAGTGCACTATTAAACATTTTATGTTGTTTTATTGTGAAAAAGTTGAGATTATTAATTTCGTAGATATGCAATAAATATATACGGGGATCCATACTTTACTTCCTTTTCAATGTCATGCCTGCATGTTCTATAGATTTCTCTTGTTTTAAATTGCTAAGTTTTTGTATTTATGACTTCATGATATGTTTCAGATGATTTTGAAGTTGATTTTGAACCACAAACAAAGAAGGCGAAGCATAAAGAGAAGGAAATGAACAAAGAGAAGAAAGGCGAGAGAAGGTGTGACCAAAAATAGATTTTTAATTTTGGGTAAAGGGCATCATGCTGTTTTACACAGGTATTATAGTAGATCTCTAATCCTTTATAAGCCTTTGTTTTGCCTTGTGTAATCCAATGTACACACTAATTTCTTCAATGTGTGATACAACAACGTCATGACATTTTTTTCTATTGTAAGGCCTTTGTTCATGAAAAGTTGTACCAAAGAGATATAGAAAAAGCAATTGAAATGCCACTAATAAATACACCTTATGACAGAAAGGATAATGATGTTAGACAAAATGAAAGCAGTCATATCAAAATAAATAGTGAAGGTATCGGTATGTAAAATTATAAATGAAACTGTGAAAAGTGATTACATCATGAAAGAGGAAAAAAGGTTGGGAAGCTGCCCTAATCTACGCAGTAATGAAGTAAATCCAATTCAAACAATGATTTTAGAATTTTTAAAGTTTTTCATTGTTAAGTATTATATAATGCTGTCTTACATTGACCTCGAATTCACATTTTTTGTAAGACTCTTTTTCCCCATCACAAAGCCCTTAATTTTAAACTCATAATGTTTACAGAGTAATCAGTCAAAAGCACAAGTTTTGAAAATGACAACTTTGTTATACTGTCCTAAATGAGGACAGAGAAGGATTTTCTGAGAGTTTTATAAACTAGTCACCACTCTTAGTGGTCTGAACTTAACTGTTGAATTTAGGCACATAGTGGCATATATCCATCAATCACAGTTATAACTGGGTAGCCTTAAAATTAGGAATGTTTAAAAGTGGACATATGAAGTGTATGGATGGATGAAGGTGTGTATGGATGAAGGTGTATGGATGAAGGTGTGTATGGATGAAGGTGTATGGATGAAGGTGTTATGGATGAAGGATGTAGGTGGTGGAGGATGTAAGGATGCATGAAGGTTGGATGTATGATGGAAGGGATGGTGGGAGGGTGGGGATGGTGGGGATTTATGAAGGTGGTGATGTATGGATGAAGATAGTGATGTACATATGAAGATAGTGATGTACCTATGAAGATAGTGATGTGTTGCATGTAGTACTACTTTTAATGGTGTGATGAACTTTCTAATTGACTTTTTGCATGGTATTGTAGTGTGTGATTCAAAATGAAAATACATGATCATTATTATGTAAGATGCAGTACCATGTACATATAATGCTGATTGCTCTCTTACTCATTTAATCTAATTAAGATGATGATGCACGCGACACCTGCGATGCACGTGACACCTGCGATAAGAGTAGTGCTAAAGTGAACAAGATTCATGACAATGATGTCGAAAGTGATTCCAATGAAGGGAAAATTGCGAACCTGAAGAACGGCAAGAAAATGTCTGGTGGGAGTCATATGTTTTCTGCCAGGCTTTATTTTTGTATTTATAAAAATTGTCATTGATTTCAAGCGTCTAATTTGCATATAATGAAATAACCAAATACAGTTGGCATGATTATACAATCAAAATATCAAAACAGTTTGATACATACGTAATTGCATTTGCTCGCAGCTTGTCTTTCGTGTTATTCTTATTAGTTTTTCTTCTGACGAGTGCTTATAATAACAAATTTTTGATACACATTTGTTTTAAAAAGAGTCGTCCGACTACAAATGCACCCCTGTTGTTGGTACAAAGGATAAAAAACCATCACCTATAAATTCTTCCAAAGAGAACTTTGGACATTTGAAAAATGAAGGGAAAATTTCCACATTTTCTTGCGTTGGTACAAAGGAGAAAAAGTCATCACCTATAAATTCTTCTAAAGAGAGCGTTAAGCATATGAAAAATGAGGGGACAATCTCAACATTTTCTTCACCTAAACTGTTTACAAACAAAACCAGCGGTTCTTTTTTTCTTGGCGGTGTTAAAATTAAGAATCCAGGTCCGCCATTACGTGTAGGACTATCAAGAAACCATAAGGTTAAACCACTTCACAATAACGTTACGCTTTCTCAATAACAACTTACTTACACCAAAATATTTTATCTCTGTTTTAATAAAATATGTGAAATGAGTTGTAGGTGATTTGTAAATATTTCAATGTATAATAAACATTGTAATTATACACTAAAAAACTCAAAACATGTCGTTATGGCCAATTGTTGGAGAGTGTAAAGTCAATCTATGAAAACCACCAACTAAATAGTATTTGGTAAGCCTTCCTCCAGCCATGCTATATACCTATGAAGGATTTTAGGCTTTCACGTGATAATTTCCCAAGCAATGTGGATACTCTCCACTGTTCATTCTTGGGATTTTAGTTTTGGACCATAGTTTCCAAAGTTCTTACTCTCTACATAGTCACTGACATTTCTTTAGCTGTAACCCACTTCACTAGCTAGTTCGCTTTTGGAGTAGCATCGATCTTTCAACCTCACCAATACCATTCCACGACATTCAACATTGATTCGTGGCTTTGGACGTATAATTCAGTAATTTGTCTAGATTCTTCTTATCCACTAAATAATTTTTCTTTCACTAAGGGCTGTTGGAATGAAGTTCGACTATATATGTCTTAAAGTGAATGGTTTGAACCTGGGAACTCTGAAGATGACTACCGCTAAGGTTGTCGAAACGTCAGTCAACATCAACACGAAAGTCCTTAGGACTTTATTGTCATGGGTGATCTACATCTACAAACATATATATATACGTCAAATGTCATTTGTGACTGTTGTAGGACATCTAACCGTGGTTAAGTATGATTAACAACAGAATGTAAATTTGCATTATAGGCTATAACGTCTTCCCAAATAAAATAAGAAAATTGAGCAGTTCTTTTTGACAGTTGAATGGTGAAATTATACGGTCAATTACAAATTGTAAGGCAGACAAATTGATTGGTTCTCTCTTTTACATTAAGTATATAACTTTCACGCAAATACCATCAAGAGCGTTAACTGTACCTCATAAAAATGTTTCTACCTTTTTCAAACTTATTTCTGATTCATTTTTGTATACAATACGTAATACAATTATATGTCTTTCAATACTCGCTCCTTAAACTTATCCATACTAAATTCCATCACTATTGTCTATAAAATGATTTAAAAGTGGCAGGTTTGCATGTCTATCCTACGACTTAAAGCTTTTGCCATTAACCTTAAATGATGCCCAAGTATTGACATGCAAAAACTGGTATTTGCGATAGATTTCAATTGTCTCGGTTGCCTGTTTTGACCAAAACTCCCCAGTGATCTCAAATATATATGCATGTTCTACTTTGGTTGCTCCTAACAGTCGATTCATTTCAATTGAATTCATGATCCACGTTTAGATATACTAAAAGCATAGAAACCTACATTGTCTTGTATTTTTAAGCTTTTGTAAGTTACAAGAAAAATATGCATGTGTATATGTTTTCAAAGTTCCTTTGTCGACGCATCCTTGTAAAAATCTCACTTTTGAAATATGTTTTTCCATATCTGTACATTATCATACATTAGGGCATTGTCAATCGCTTAAAAAATGTTTTGGGATAAAGAAACAACAGTCTCAACCTCAAGGCCAAAATATGTCAAAATGCCATTATACGAAGTTTGTATTCTGTACAGTTCTTGCTCGCTGGGTTAGATTGTCCATCTTCTAAATGTGTTTTTCTCGCGATATGACTCTAGCCAGTCACGTGCTGCTTTCATTGATGAATTCATTGGTCCCTGTCCGCCAACGTATGCGACTTTACCTTCTTCGATGGCGTAGAGTCTCTCAGGCAACGCTCCATAGGCCACATTTGCATTGTCGTCCATTGTGTCTACCATTATTTGACATGGAAGATTGAGTTCTTGTAGCTTTTGCGCGGCTTTGCATCTTTCATATTGATTTCGATGCTTTCGTACTTTGATAAAGTTATTCTAAAATGAAGTGAAATTAGCTTCCTTCATGACTTTATCAAGAAATCTTAAGACATGTTTTTCTATACACAAAAGATTGTCAAATAATGAAAGGGACGATTCTTTTTCAAACAACATCTTTGTTTTTGCCTAATGAAAGTATAGTTCAACAGAAGTTCACTATTTCTGCCTTTGAAAAAGGTCCCATTTTTATCAGTAAGATAAAAAAGCTATTATTATGTCAGCAGAACATATTGTCTGGCTATATAGCCTACTAAAATGTTATGAGTGTTTGCAAAAGATTTTTACCTGATGAAATTTATATGCTTCGTTATTATTATTATGGTTATACAAAGAATGTTTTATAAATCACGAAATTGCTGTAGCCGTTTAATTTCTCTTTCATGTTATACTGGAAAACTATTCTTCATAATGAATAACGTAGCTATAATATAACTCTACGCTTTTCATCAATTCAAAATTATGTTGAAGAAATAGAAGAATTTACCTTGAAAGACCATCCATCAATTGGATGAGCTTCTTCAATATATACAACGACAAAATCCACGATATCTGAAAAGTCTTGAGCTAGAACACCAAATTCTTTCAGTTTATTCATAAACACTGGGCAACTACAACTGCCAAAGTACACGACTAATGCTCTCTCAGCTTGAAGTAAATCAAGTAAACGCACACATTTCTTTCCATCGGGTGTTACCAAGGGAACATTTTGTGCCTCCAGTCCGTTTCGCATTTCCTTTGTAATATCGACAACTCTTGATTTCCAAACTGA